CCCTCTGCCCTCCCGGTGGCGTCAAAAGTCCCGATTGGAAGTCTCGAGCATGCGTCCAGGGTCCACTTGGACCTTCCGATGGCGGCGAATGAGACACCGAAGGCCTAGGTGCGCTCGGTCTTGGTGCTTTCTTCTTCGAAAAGATTGAGTTCCACGCTTTCTTCAATTTGCTTCCTTCAGCGGCTCGCTTCACGAGACGGGTCGTGCCTGCACCACCCGTCAAAGTAAAGTACGGCGCTGTACCTGTCGATAGGGCATCGTCACCGATGCCAGTCATTGGAAGGGCGACGACTAGCTGTCTAAATGGTTTGTACGAGCATCTACTCTCAGCTTCGGCATGACAAGTGTGCTGAGTACAGCAAGAACTCACAGGAGGACGACTGCGCACAGCGCTAGCCTGACCCACCTCATCGTTGCTGCAATTTGAGATTCTCGTTGAGAAAAGGAGAAAGAGAGTTGGAACCCGACCTCCTGGGCCCTCTATATATGTGTAACAGCGTCGCACAATTGGTCCTATGCGCCCCGAGCTGTGCGCCTCATTGCAACAGACGCCCGATCGGCCCTTGGCCCTCTGCCCCACATGCGCCCCTCATATCGTCCGGGGCAAGGATGCTTGGATCTTTCAGCCCGTGCCGGAAAGGAATAATTATTCCGATACGCCAAGGCTAGACCAAACTCTGTTTACAGGGCGAGCAGGTACATCCGGGGCTATGAGCCCCACGCTATGTTGCACGAAGCGGCGCTTCTCCGGGGTTCTGCGGTGCATCAGGATGCTCTCAGTCCTGTGTTGGGGATAACAGGCCAGGAGCTGTGCACTCACCGTCTCTTGCTGTAATGGCGCCTTGATTTCGTCGTTGACGACATCAGGCAGGGCGTCGGTCAGATACGAGGGCGTCTCGGTCTCCTCCTCTCCCAGATCATCGCCCCTGGACACAAGCCGATGAGCATGGGCATGATGTAATGGGGAGTTAGTAATACTCACAGAGCATCCAGCTCAGCCTGAAGGTCCTCTTCGTCAACTTCGTCAGGGACGCCGTAAGATCTACCGAGGGTTTCCTGGACTTCGTTTGCCTGCTCGATCATGTCCTCCATCTCATCCTGCACCCGCTCGATCTTGTCGAGGTCAATTTTTCCATACGTCTTGCGCATCTCTTTGTTGGCTGCGTTCATGGCGTCGACGGTTGCCATGGTATTCCGAAGGTTCTCTGTCGTCATCGTAGCCTGCTCCATGTTGTACGACTGCTGTTGAAGCTGCGAAAGCTGGGCCTCGTACAGCCGCTTTTGCTTCAGCACACGGATAGCGCGCTGTTGAATGGCGTTCTGTATTTGGAGACCAGAGTTTGAAAACTTCAGCGTGTGAGCAGTAGACCAGAGACCTCTACTTGGCGGCTCCCACCTTGCCTGGACCGGTGCTCATCTTCTTCATCTGATCGCGATACCGGGCGAGCTCGACGTCGAGCTTCTTGATCTTTGCTTGAACGCCATCGGCGCGCGCTTCTGTGCTGGTGATGGCCTCGTTCAGCGAAGGCTTTGGCTTGGCGTTCTTGCTCCCGAATAGCCGATTCATCGTGGATCCTGCGCTGAGCTCGTCGTGGCGAGCTGGTGATACCAACCTCAGCCAGATCCAAGGTCTGTGCGCCCTCTGAGCCACGTGTTGCGAAGCAAGCTCAACCTCGACTTTCTGATTTTTTCCTCCTTCGAGATCCCTATTTCTTCTCATCATCGTCTGAATTCGGCACGCCTGCACGCAACAGAGGTATGCCTCCAAAGCAAGGGAAGGCACAGAGGGGGGGACAGGCCCAGTTGGGGCCCAGCGGAAGCCGCCAAAAGCCCGGCCATCAAGCACAGAACAACGAAGCGCCGCAGGAGGACCCCCTGGTGGCCGTCATTCTCGCCGACTCGTTCGACTCGCACTATGCGCCGTTGACCATTGATGCTCCTCGCTGCCTGCTCCCGCTCGCCGGTGTGCCCCTGATCGATTACAGCGTCGAAGCTGCTGCGATTGCGGGAGCACAGCACGTGTATGTGCTCTCATGTGCTCATTCTACGCAGATCAAGCGCTACGTCACCGAGGAGCTCGAGACCAAGCTCCATCTCAAAATGCAAGGCATCGGTGTGACGGTCATGTCGACGCCCGAGGCGAGAAGCACAGGCGATGTCATGCGAGAGCTTGATGCCAAGCAGGTCCTCCGCTCCGACTTTCTCCTTTTCCAGCCCGACTGCGTCACCAACCTCGATCTCCGCAGCGCCGTGCAGAGGCACAAGGAACGGAGAAAGGTGGACAAGGACGCCATCATGACGATGTGTGCCACGCGGGTCAATGAGAGAAGCGCGATCAGATCAAGAGCCGAGCAAGCTATCCACTATCTCGACCCAACTACAAGCCAGGTGCTGCACTACGAGACGCAGTACCCGCATTCATCGCAACCGACCAAGCGTGCGACGCTGCCGGGAGAGCTGCTACAGTTCGATGACAAGTCGGGTCATGCCGACATCGATGTGCGCACAGATCTCATCGGAGCAGGCGTCGACATCTGCAGCATCGACGTGCCGCCGCTCTTTTCGGAGAACTTCGATTACCAGAGCTTGCCGCTCGACTTTATCCCCGGCATCCTCACGTCGGACCTCTTGGACAGCAAGATCTTTGTCGAGATCAAGAGCAACGCATACAGCGCGCGAGCAAAGGATACGGTAACCTTTGATGCCATCGCGCAAGATGTCCTGAGGAGATGGACGAGTCCCATGGCACCTGGCAGCAGCGCGTGGATCGGCGGCATGTATGCGGAAAAGCCTGGCTGGCGATACATTGGCGAGGGCGTCAAGATGGACCGGTAAGTGTCACTGACTCGACCATGCTGAGCTTGTCTGCTGATGTCGTCGTAATCAGCACCGTCACGCTTGGGAACAACGTCATGGTGGGAAGCAAGACGACGCTCGGGACCTCGTCAAGCGCGTCGAGAAGCGTCCTGGGCTCCGGCGTCACCGTCGGATCCTCGAGCAGCATCACAGGGTCACACCTCTTTGACAATGTCAAAGTGGGCTCAAATTGCCACATTGAAAGGTCGATCATCGGCCAAGGCGCCCAGATCCTTGATGGCGTCACACTCGGAAAGGGTTGCCTGATTGGCGGTGGATGCATCGTAGGACCCAACGTGAAGCTGGCCGCGGGGACGAGAGTGGGGAGACGCAGCATCAGCGACGTCGAGGAAGACGACTGGGGGAGCGAGCAGAGCGTCGAGGGGAGCAGCGCTCCAGCCGATGCCGCCCTTGGAAGCAAGGCAGCTGGCTACCTGTGGCCCAACGTCCTGTCGCACCAGTCAGAGGGAGGAAAGGGACAGGGATCAGATGAGGACGACTCCGAGGAGGAGGAAGGAGACGAAGAAGAAGATCTTGCCACCCGTCGCGTTCGTGCGCTGGGCTATGATGAGCCGCGTGCCGCAGAGCAGACCCGAGGAGACGGCAGGGATGGAGACGAGGACGATGAGAGCGTCTCGTCCATCGAAGGCGACAGCGAGCTTTCTGCTTCGGACGGTGAAGACGACGACGACGATACCAAGTCTGCTGTTTCCTCCACCATTTCTGGTGTGGGCAACATCAACCTGACGCTTGACGACGCGGCCGACACGGCAGCGGAGCAGGCGCAGCGCAAGTCGCAGCTGCAGGAGTTCAAGAACGAGGCCGTGGCGTCGCTGACGCGGGCCTTTGACGAGGGTCACACGACGGACAATGCAGCGATTGAGCTCAAGACGCTTCGTATGGCCTCGAACGTGGCCCTGGCCGAGGTCCGGCGCATCGCCATCGACTTTCTCCTGCAGCGCTGCGATGCGAACAAACCAAAGGACGTCGAGGCCTTGCTGAATCGATGGGGCCCACTGCTGGCAAATGTGGCCGCTGACGACCAGGTCGAGGCCCTTGTCATGGTCCAGTCTTACTGCGCCAGCCATCCCGCCACGCACGGAGCGCTGTTTGTGCCGCTGCTCAAGAAGTTCTACAATGACGATGTCGTGTCCGACGAAAGCATCGTGGCGTGGTGGAGAGCAAAGGAGTCGCGGATGGGAAGCGAAAAGATGGTCGAGCTGAGGCAGCGGGCAGAGGGCGTCGTCCGTTATATCCTCGAAGACGACGAGGACGAGGACGATGATGACGAAGATGACGATGACGAATGAAGACTATCTTGCACTGCACCAAGGGCACAATTTTATTCAACAATACAACGAAATTCCATCATATTCAAGCCTGAGAGAAGAGCTTCCGAGGATAAGGAGAACATACAGTGAAGTGACAACCTTGCGGTCAAGTGTAATCGTGTTCACATTAGTCGAAGACCTGAGAAGAGAAGAACGACCAATTGGGATGGTCAGCTGTCGTCGTCTCGAGCAGGCTAGCCACTCTTTCCCCTCAGACTCACAATGACGTTCCTAAACTGGGGCTTGCCCGTCTGCGTCTCCTCGTATGCATCGTGGGCCTTGTCGAGAGGGAAGGTGTTGACCATGGCCTTGATGCCGCTCAGGCTGGACCACTTGGCCGTCTTCTCGTTCTCGGGCGCGTGTCCGCACGTCATGCCGCGCACGGTACGCCTGCCGAGCAGGTCCATGATGCTGACCTCGATGGGCTTGCCGTCAAAGGGCGCACCGACGACGACGAGGGTGCCGTAGCGCGAGAGCAGGGGGATGAGCTCCTGGGCTGCCTTGCCCGAGGGCGCCGTCGCAATGGCCGCCTTGGCCCCGCCCAGCTTCTTGACCTCGGCCGCGATGTCGTCTTCTGAGGCTGCAAAGACGTGGTGGGCGCCGAGCTTCTTGGCGAGGTCTGCCTTGCCGGGCGTGCCCGTCAGCGCGACAACTTCGAAGCCCATGGCGCGGGCGTACTGGAGCGCAAGGTGGCCCAGTCCTCCGAGGCCCTGGACGATGACGAGGTCGCCAGGCTTGGCGTCGCTGACGAGGAGGGCCTGTTTGGGGTTGTGCATCAGTAACTCGATTCCCTTCTCTTTCACGACGATGGAAACTGTCTCGGTCGCTCTATTTGGTAAGCTCACCTCGTGGACAGTGTTGCCGGCGCAGAGCAGGGGAGCCAGCTCGGCGTCAGTCATGTTGGGCTTGTCGGGCAGACGGACGAGGGCCGTCTCGTCGGCGACGACGTACTCTTGATGTCCACCGTCCTTGAGGATACCTGTCACCTTGGAGTTCTGGCAGCCCGTGGGATCTCCCTGTCGGCAGTTGGCGCAGTGCTGGCACGTGCCGCCGTTCCAGCCGATTCCCACCTTGGTGCCGTCGTTCCAGAGGTTCCGGTCGACGTTCTTGCCAAGCGATACAATTTTTCCCACAACCTCATGGCCGGGGGTCATTGGATAAGGCACACCGGGCATGAGCCCAGAGACGGCCATGTGGTCGCTGCCACAGACGCCGCTGGCAGTGACCTTGATGAGAACCTCATTGGGACCAGGCGTGGGCGTGTCGACGGTGACGATTTCCAGCTTGCCGTCCTTTTGCTTGACCTGCGCGGCCCTGTGTTGCTTGGGAACTGCAGTCATTGCGTAGGTCTTTATAGAGAGATGAGGATAAAGAAGCAGAGAGAGAGAGAAGACAGGAAGAGTTGGAGGGTGGAGAGGAAGGGACCAGTGGAGGGCTCCGAGAAAAACGGGCGTGTGGAATGATGTCGTGTGTAGCTTCTGAACCCAGATCTTCCCGCTCAATTTTGGAAAGCCTCCACTTTGATGAGATCTCGATTGAATTCCGATTTGGGAAGAGTAGCCAATGGCTTCGGCCGAGGCATGGGCCCGACCTTGCACGTGAAGAAGCGCCAAAGCCAAAAATTTAAATTTTTGGAGGTGGACTCTTCTGAAGGAGAGACGAAGCTGGACGACCAGAAGAGAGAGGCGTAGAGGACGCTCGGACAGGTGGAAAATGGCAATCGCAGAGCCAGCGCGAGTGTACAACGTTTCGGGAGGAGGCAGGGGGAATGGAGAGTCGTCCTCGTCGCTGTCTACGTCGCTTCCCGACCTGCTTCGCCGGCATGGACGGTCGAACAAGCGCAAGTCGCGCAATGCGCAGAAGATCGATGAGCAACTCGATCGCATCGAGCTCCTGCAAGACTTTGAATTCCCTGAGGCGAGCAACGTCATTAAGAGCACCAGAGATGGTCAGCACATTGTTGCGACGGGCACCTACAAGCCGCAGATGAGGGTGTGGGAGTGCGAGCAGCTCAGCCTCAAGTTCGAGAGGCATTCGGATGCTGAGACAACCGACTTTGTCCTCCTCTCCGACGACTGGACCAAGTCGCTGCACCTCCAGAATGATCGCACGCTCGAGCTTCATGGCCAGGGCGGGCACCATGCAAGACTCAGGATACCAAAGTTTGGTCGAGCGCTCGGCTACCATTTTGGCACAGCCAACGCATTGGTGGGTGCTGCAGGAAACGAGGTATTCCGATTGAATCTAGACCAAGGGCGATTTATGGCCCCGCTCGAGCTGGGACCCGAAGTGCGAGGGGTAAATGCGGTCGACGTCAATCCAGCTCACGGGCTCCTGTCATTCGGTGCCGAGGGGGGTGGCGAGAGCGGTGTCGAGATCTGGGATATTCGGAGTCGGAATCGAGCAGGTACGCTCAATGTGGCAACGAGGGATGTCGTCGATGCCGCCATCCTGTCTTCGCGGAGAAAGTTGCCAGGAGTCTACCGGGAAGGAGAAGACGACGAAGCGGCTCTTGCCGACGCCGTGTCTTCGCTCAGCGTCACTGCGCTGAGCACCTCGTCAGACGGCTTGAACCTCGCCGCGGGCACGAGCACGGGGCATGTGCTGCTGTATGATCTTCGCATGACAAAGCCCTATGCGACCAAGGACCAAGGATTCGGCTTACCCATCAAGAGTCTCAGCTGGCCTAGCGATGTCAATTCCGGTAGGCAGTCGCGGCCAGCCACGGAGAAGCGCGTGCTCTCAGCCGACGAAAAGGTCATCAAGGTCTGGTCATCGCAGGAGCCGTCCGACAACATCGTCACCATCACGCCCAGCGCGGCGACGGGCAACCTCAACTGCGTTCATCAACTGCCTGGGACCGGCCTGGTGCTGGCAGCCAACGAGGCGACAAGGTGTGCTGCCTGGTACGTGCCCGAACTGGGCGTGGCACCAAAGTGGTGCAGCTTCCTCGACATTCTCACCGACGAAGCCGACGGCGAGACAACGTCGACGAGCAAGAAGGGGACCTACGAAGACTTCAAGTTCGTCGACCAGTCCGAGCTCGAGAGGCTGGGGCTCACCCATCTCATTGGGTCGCCCGTGCTGCGACCGTATATGCACGGCTTCTTCATGTCGCTCAAGCTCTACGACAAGGCGAGACTTGTCAGCAACCCGACGGCCTACGCAGACGCACGGGAACGGGCGATCAAGGCCAAGATGGATCAGCTGGCCGAGAGCCGTATCAGAGAGTCGCCAAAGGAGCTGGCGAGAAGACGCAGAAACGAGAAGGAGCTCGAGACGATTCGGGTCAACCGCGACCTCGCGGCCAAGCTCCGAAAGGAGGCAGACAGGGAGGAACGGCTGGCAGAGAAAAAGGCAGCGCGCGCGGCAGCGGCCGCCAAGCAGAGCCAGGCAGAAGAAGACGACGACGAAGAAGCGTCGGAGGAAGAGTCTGGAGAGGAAGACGCCAGACCAGAGCCAAGTGCGGGTGGAAAGTCCAATCTGCTGCAAGATTCTCGATTCTCGGAGCTGTTTACCAATCCCCAGTTCGAGGTCGACGAGACCAGCAGAGAGTTTGCCATGGTCAACCCGCGAGCGGCAGCGGCGCAAAAGAAGAAGAGGGAGCGAGATCTGGAGAGCAACGTCGCTGCACCCAGAAAGCTCACGGCCGTCGAGGAAGAAGAGGCGGAGAGCGACCGTGTGTCGCTGGACCCGGATCAGGAAGACGACGAAGAGAGCGAATCGGACAATTCGGGTCGCGACGACGATGCCATCTACCAGCGGAACCGCGCGAATGTCAGGGATCAGCGGCTCAACTTCAGCCGGACCACCAAGGGCGCTGCAAGGGGTGTGAGGCCCGTTGATGAGGAAGGTGACGATGGCGACGGCGACGACGCTCAAGATGATGGTGACGAGCACCGTGTGTCATACAAGCGACCAGGAAGTCTGAAGGGCAAGAAGACCTTTGGTCAACGTATGCGCGATGGTCCAAAGTCTGCCACGACTTCTGACGCCGAAGCTGCCTTTGAGCCATCGTCTAGGTCATTCACCTTCACGCCGTCTTCAACCAGCAGCGCCAAGGGGTCAGCAAGCCGAGACAAGGGCAAGAAGAAGGGCGAAGAGACCTTTGGTGCCGGCCTGTCAAAGGGAGCTGGAAGCGAGCAGGGCGTGGGCGTCGAAGGCCTCGAGCACAACCAGCGCTTCGGAAGAGACAAGCGGCGGAAAGTGGGGAGGAGCGCGAGCAAGAATGTCATGCGGGAGCGCCAGTAAAGGCAGCTGTAGCTTGCGGTGCCCTCTTTTTGCTTCTGTATTGTATCGCTGCCTTCTGGGAATATCAGAATCAAGATAATTGCGCAGAGGTAGAGAGAATGTGTGTGAGTGTGCGTGTGTGAGTATACGTTTGCAGAGCCAGTCGCTTCAAGCCTGCTCCTTCTTGAGATTCCGGTGCAGTTCCGCCTTGACTTCTGTGACGCGATCCAGAAGCTTATCGACCACCTTGCTTCGGTTCTGCTCAAACGCCTTGTTGATCGTCTCTAGCTTCTCCTCCGTCTCCTTGTCGACGGCTGTCTGCGACGTGCTCTGGCTTCCCTCGTGCTGTTTCGATGGTTGAGCAATCATGCAGATGTCGAGACTGGAACATCCCGCGCAGCTCACCTCCTTTTGAAACTTCTGGAAATCCGCCTCGGTCTTCTTCTTCAGCTCCTCAATGTCCTTGGCCGCCTCTGTCCGGGCGTCCTTGAGCTTCTGTGTCCGGTCTGGGTTCGTATAAAGACTCCAGGTAAGCACATCTGGCCTCTACAACAGCCCTCCAAGGCTCGCAAGTCAGCATCGAGCACTCACAGGTCCGGGCCTTCTGGACGATCTTGGCAGCCTCCTTCTCAGCCTCGAGCAGCGTCTGGATTCCTTGAGATTGTTGGGCAGCCTGTAAAGACGTCCAGCAAAAGCGTTAGAGAACCTGACCAGAAGGTCCCGGAAAGGACGGGGGAGACGCTCACCATTCTGAGCAAGATTCAGCTAGAGGTCCAGTCGGAAGGCTGCTGGAGGGTGACGTTGGAGCGATGGCACGGGCGCATCAGGGGCGGTGGTGGGCTCGTCCATTTCGCGTGGCCGAGGTCAACACGTGATATAAGGCCCGTCCAAAAATTTTGGAGGAAAGGTGCGCGCGCACTCTTTTGACTTCTTCGACTTCTTCCTGAGGGCGCTCTCTATTTCTTCGGACACGGGTCGGGTCATAAGGAGGGATGGAGTACCAGAAGCTCCGGCCGCTGACGGGCCACAAGCCGGCACCATCGACGGGGTCGCCCGAGTCGCTGTATTGGCGCCAGTTCAAAGCACCAGTCTTTGTCAAGGAGTTTGCGCCCATCAACTCGATCAACTTTGTCCCGCCAGCCACTTATGCCGCTCCCAAGGAGGTCAATGACCCCTCGGCTCCATCGTCCAGCAACTCGGCAGCCAGTAAGCAGAAGTTTGCCGTGACAAGCGCGACGAGGGTTCAGATCTACAGCATGCGCACGGACAAGGTTACAAGAACTGTTTCGAGATTCAACGACGTGGCCAGGTGCGGCAGCTTTCGAAGTGACGGGAAGCTTTTGGTAGCTGGAGACGATTCGGGCTTGATCCAAGTAAGTCTTTCTTCAGCTCGCTGTCAAAATCTTTGAGCTGACGTTGCCACAGGTGTTTGATGCCAGCTCGCGCTCCATTCTGAGGACCCTCAAAGGACACGAACTGCCCGTGCACGTCTCTCGCTTCTCGTCTACACCAACACAGATCCTCTCTGCGTCCGACGACCGCACTGTGCGGTTATGGGATCTTCTTGAAGAGAAGGAGATCCGCATCTTCAGTTCGCACACCGACTATGTCCGCTCGGCCATCGTCTCGCCCGACAATCCTTCCTTGCTTCTTTCGGGATCCTACGATGGCACAGTCAAGCTTTGGGATGCTCGTATGGCCGAGAATGATGGGTGCGCCATCAATATGCGGCACGGCGCGCCAGTCGAGGACGTTCTCATTTTTCCGACAGGCGGTGGAGGAGTGGCACTGAGCGCAGGAGGGCCTGTTCTCCGGGCGTGGGACCTGATGATGGCGGGACGTTGCACCAATGCAGTCTCGAACCACAGCAAGACGATCACTTCGCTGTCCCTGAGCATGTCGTCGGGCGCAGGTGCCACCGCTGCCGCTGGTCTTGGTGGCATCCGAGTGCTGAGCGCTGGTCTGGACCATCTCGTCAAGGTCTACGATCCAGCAAAAGAATACAAGGTCGTTCATACGATGAGATACCCGGCCCCGATTCTGTGCTTGGCTGTCAGCCCTGACGAAAGCCACATTGCTGCGGGCATGGCGGACGGGACACTGTGCATCCGCAAGCGTCAGCTGCGCGCTTCGGAGCTTCAACATCGCCAGGAGCAGAACCAGTCCTATGAATACTTTGTCGGCGCAGGCGGGTCACAACAGCCACAGTCGCATTCTGGCACGCAGCAGGACGAGATTCGCGTCGAAAGCGTCCGCCGTCAAAGATTGAAGCCGTACGACAAGCTGCTGAAGAAGTTTCAGCACTCCGACGCCCTCGATGCCGTCCTCCGAAAGGACGTGCCGCCCAGCGTGACATTTGCCCTCCTGGCCGAGTTGCGGGATCGGTCATCGGCAGATGGAAGCCTCGATGGACTTCGGAGGGCCATTGAGGGAAGGGACGACGTCACGCTCGAGCCTCTGTTGAGATTCTTGCTCCGACAGTCGAGCAACCCCAGCTACACGTCACTGGTGTCAGACTGCCTCAACGTCATCATCGGTGAGCCTGGCTCTGAATCTAGCACTCATTATCCTCTGCTGACTGGCTTTCTTTCTTTCCAGACATTTATGCACCGGTCCTCGGCCAGTCACCGCTGATTGACGAACTCTTTGGGAGAATCTGGTCCAAGGTGACGGACGAGCTCAAGCTCCAGAGGAACCTCGTAGAGGTCAAGGGGTCCCTCGAGATGCTCATGGCCAGATCGGCAATGGGTTAGACATCCTTTTTACCTTGCACTACACAGCAGACCTTCGCATGTACTTTTACACACAACAATTGCTCTCAAATTGAGGAATTCACCTGTCGCTATATCGACTTTTTTTGAACAAAGCGAAGACAAAAGAAGAGGAGGGTTGGCTAAGCTTAGGATAGAAAGATCCCCACACCCTGTGTCTCTGATAGGATGATTCTCTGTGTCGTCGATGGCAAAGAGCTCTCATGGCTGGACGACCTCCTTTGACCTAACGGCGAGCAAGATGGAGTGCTGGCCGCCCGCTGCGACGGCCATGGTCTGGAACGGCGCCAGCTGCTTGCTCTTGACGACGGTGGGCGTCTCAATCTGCTCCTCGTCGCCCTGACCGAGCTGGGAGCTGATTCCGAATCCCCACGAATACACCGTCCCATCCTCGGTCACGGCCATGTTGTTTCTCGATCCGCACGCTAGCTGCACGACGCGGGCCGACGCCGGAAAGGGGATGTGGACCGGCTCGGCCACGTACTCGTCCGGGGGCACGCCCTTCTTTGGCGGCATGTCCTCCTCTGTCATGACCATGTCGAGCGACATGCCGTTGCTGCCGGCGCCAGCGCCGCCTGCCTCTGCGTTGGCGGCAGCTGCCTTCTTTTTCTTTTCCTCCATGCGCTTCTCCCACGCCGGAATCTCGACCTTGAGCTCCTCGTCGCGTTTCCGGCCCCACGCCTCGCGCGCCTTTTGGACCTCCTGCATGGCCGGGTGCGACTCGTCGATGCCCAGCTCGAAGCCGTCGCATCGGCCGGTTCCAAACACCCTGCCGTCCGACAGGAGAAAGAGCGAGTGATGCTGGCCCGCCTGGATCTGCACGACGCTCGCACCGAGCTCCTTTGGATTGAGAGCGGGCACCTCTCTCGGAACGGGGATGATGTCCTCGACGGTATCGATGCCCGTCTGCTTGAGGCTGTTGAGACCCCACGCAAAGACCTTGCCGTCCTTGTTGACGGCAAAGCTGTGGTAGGCGCCCGCCCCGATGAGGACAATGTTTTTAAGGCTGAGTTTCTCGGGCGTCAGGCCGTTGATCTTGCGCCGCTCAATGATGCGCCGGCCCAGCTGCATCTGCTGCCCGTTTCCCCATGTCAACACCTCGCCCTCGGTCGTGAGAGCCAGGACGTGGTCATCGCCACAACAGACCGCCGAGATGGAGTACTTTTGAAGCGAGGGCAGCGCCACGGGAAGGAACTGCACCTTGTCGCTCCCCACGGTGCCGTCGAATCCAAGAAGACCGTCGTTGGACTATTATCGTAGGCATTTCAGTACAAGAAAGATCGAGCGACAACTTCACAGACACTACGCACCCTGAAGCTTCCCCAGACCCTGATCTCACCCCGGTCGCTCACGGCTACACTGACGCTGTCGCCCGCGGCCACGCGGGTCGCGCGAAACTGCTCCACGTCGCCCTCCTTTCCGCCCTCGAGGCTGGGTCCTCCGACGACGCCCCGCCCCGTCGGGGAGAGACCCTCGATGGCTATGGGCTCCGTCTCAAAGACCTCTGCCTCGATGGTCGGGTCCCGCGTCGTCCGTCTTCCCAGGCAGCCATTGTCATTGATGCCGTACGAGAGGACGCGGCCGTTGGAGTCGATGAGGAGCGAGTGCATGCCGCCAGCAGCGACCATCTCGATGCCGCCTGCGCCAAGGGCGTCTTCTGCATTCTTGGAGGCGACCCACGAGTGCAGGCGGGGCCGCTTGATCTCGTCGAGCACGTCGGTGCCCAGCCCATGCTGGCCCATGTCGCCGTTGCCAAAGACAAAGAGGTCGCGCTTGAGCACCCCACCCGCACCCGCACCCGCCTTGCCGGCCGCCGACTCGATCTGTGCCTGCCTCTCGCGCGCCGTCGGCGCCATGTAGGGCGTGCTTACATCCACAGCCAAATTCTTGTCGAGCAGCGTCCGCGTGACGGGCAGCAGGGGCGCCGGGAGCGGGTTGATGCCCGTCCGGACTGTGTAAGCGGGCAGCTGGGCCTTTTTGTTGTCCAGCGGTCCCGGCGTTCGCGTCCGTCGCTGCGCCTTGAGCTTGGGCGCGGCTTTATCAGCGCTGGCGCTCGGCTCCGCCGTCGACGCACGAGCCTTGCGTTTTGTGCCTCCCACGGACCCGTTCGTCGTCGTCGTCGTCGTTGTCGTCGTCGTAGATGACTTTGCAGCGACAGCGCTGCCGGAAGCCACCTTGAGCTTCTTCGCGGCGCTCTCCTTGCTGCTTGCCTTGGCCGCCACAGCCGCAGCCGACACCTTGGCATCACCCGACGGCGTCCTTGCTCTCTTTGGTGCCATGTCCGATCGAAGCGGAAGGAGTGCTGGTTGATGCACAGGAAAGATGCGTTGAGCAGCGCAAGAGAAGATCAAAAAATGAATCGACCAACCACTATTTTTCTCTCTCTCTCTCTTATTTTTTGAGAAGAAGCCAGCCTGGGACGCGCAGCGCACGTGTGCGAGCTGGACCCTCGAACTTTCACCGACCCAGCAGTTTCGGTCATGCCATGGCGTTCCGAGGCTAATGAGCTAGCAATCAATCAATCAATAAGGAGCCGTTTGACCACGCGGATTGTGCATACTGTGCATTGCGGCTGCTGCAATCGCTGTGCACAGGTGTGAGTGATTGTTCTTTCACTACATTACAGAAGAGCAAGGAGTGCAGCGGCACCACCTTGAGCGAGAGCACGTCCGGCTTGGTGGTGGTGGTTGCGGTGGGTAGTACGGTGCTGCTTGGGGTGGCGGGCGCGAGCTGCATTCGGCTTGGAATTTTGGGTCGTCTGAGACGCCGCCGCCGCCGTCTGCCCCACCGTGGCCGTTTTGTTGTTCGTTTTCGTCGAGCTAAGAGGTAGGGACCGTGTCTGTCAGCTTTAGCCCGACGGTTGGGTCTGCATGCGCTCGCTCTCCCTCTCACCTGCTCTGAAGGACCCAAGCGAACCCGCCGAGGACGTGACCACGGTAGGCGGGGATGGCCCATGTCGCATTCGCGTGGCCCATGGACGAATACCAGGAGCGGCCGGCGGCTGGCTGCTTGCCGAACGTCTCGAAGCCAGTGGTGCTGTTGAGGTTGTCCGCCAGCGAGCCCGTCTGCGCCAGTGCGGTATTGCCATCTACGGACGCGAGCAGGTTGCCCTCCCGGTACCACGCCAGCGGGTGCGGCGCAGGCCCGTCGCCGCCCAGCCGGAAGTTTCTCAGATTCACGCCCGGATCCTGGACGGCCGATGTGTTGGTGACGAGGACGTGGGCGGGCGACGGGAGGGCGCGTGGGTCGCTGCGGAAGTGGTAGAGTTCCTCGTACAGCAAGAGGTTCTTGGGCAACCTCGAGGTGGACAGGTGGCTGCTATCCACGGCACTGATGGTGAAGTTCTGGATCTCTGGGTGGTAGTCGAAGTAGGCGCCCAGGACCCGGCCATAGCAGCCATAGCTGTACATCGAGGCCGACGCCGAGTGTATGCCGACGAAGCCGCCGCCCTGGGAGAAGTAGGTGCAGAGGTTTTTGGCACCGGCCGGCGTGAGCACGCTCCCAGTCTCGGGTGGATTTGCGTCGGTGGTGTGGACGAAGGCGACGAGGTCAAACTGGTTCAGCCAGCCACTCTGCTCAAATAGGGTCTTGTCCTCGGTGTGCACCGTCTCCCAGCGGGCCGCGCTATTGCTCGTCAGCAGCGAGGGATCCACAACATTTGCGTCGAGGGGGAGGCTGCCGTTGCCCATCGCCGTGATGGTATCTGCGGCGACGGGGATTGAGTCATGTCGGTAGGCCCCAGGCGCGGTACCGGTGAAGAGGAGGATGCGAGGCAGTGCCTGTGCCCATCCCGCGAAGTGAAGGGCGAGCAGGGCTGCAAAAAGGAGCAGTGGCATATCTTGCAATTGTAGTCGATGAGGATAGAGGCAGTCGTCGTAGTCGTCGTCGTCGTGGCCACAGAGCGAGAACCTGCCCGCGCTGTGAGGGTCCGCAGGCCCCTGTTAGCCAATGAGCTCTCGAGCCCTCTCTCCTTTTCTGATGAGATGAGAAGGGGGGCGGGAAACGAAGTAGCGTCCGACGCAAGTCGTGCGACACGCACGGTGTTGCCTGGACCCTCCTCCAAACCTCAGGCCGGCCCTCTAATTTCTTTTTTTTTTCGTCTTTCTGACGCTTGCCGCGAAATCTTGCTTGGCAAGGCGCGGGGCGAAAACAGACGTTCGCAGGCGGGTGGCCCATGCTTCCCAGAGTTGTAAATATGAATGATTGCGCTCAATCTAAGAAGAACATAAACACACCGTCCGCCGAGAGAGAGGATTGCAACAGGGATACAGGACCTTGGAGAATGGGAGAGCGGGAGAGCACGTGTAAAGCAATGCTAGATGTAGTAAAAGGCATGCAACGAATTCAGAGACTGTCGTCCATCGAGGTGGGGATCTCTACCTTTTCGCCTGGTTGGAAGGCAGGCATGCCTGATGAGAGTGGCAGACAGGTCAGTTCCTTGATCTTTTTAGAGAGACACGCTGTGGAGAAGGCATCTGCTCACCAAGGTAGGGACAGCTGCTGCATCGGAAGGCATCGCCGAGGCTGCACGAGCCACAGCTCGACGTCATGCCGTTGGTATCGACGGTGATGCGCTTGATGACTCTTGTCACGCCATTCTCATCCACCATTGTCTCGGTCACCTCCGTCTTTCTGCCGGGCGGGTTCGGCCGCCCGTCGTTGCTGGGCATGTCCATGTCATCTGCATCAATCTGGACGATGTTGTTCATCCGTGCATTGTCCTCTTCCTCCTCGAGCTCGCGAAGGCCACAGGTGCAGCCTTTGCACGCCTTGCGGCGGCGCCCGCCCGCGAGAGCCGACGGAAGGTCGCAGTCTTCGCGCCTCGTTGCCTTTGGCGCAATGTGGTCTGCCTCTGTCAACAGCGAGTCCGAGTCGATGAGCGACGTTGTGGCGGGCGATGTCGCCCACAGCGCCTTCTTCTTCTCTGCGCTTGTCCCGTTCGCCGAGAATCCCCCACCATTTCGGTTGGCAAGCTTTCTCCGAAGTGGGAGAGCACCGCTCTTGACGCCGTTACTACTGATGCTGCTGCTGCTGCTGCTGCTGCTTGCGCTCGACTTTGTCCCCACCACTTGGCCGGTGGCCTCATCGATATCGACGCTGGAGAAGCCTGCCAAGGTCCACGCGCCCTTTGTTGCTCTCGCCGGATCCTCGTCCCGCATCGCATCTTGGAGCGGCGCCAGCGCAATGGATCCGCCCGGCCGCAAGGCGCTGTACAGGATAGAGAGAAGGGCGGGCGACTGCGCCTGCGCAAAGGGCACCACGAGTTGGATGGCGGGGTACACGTTGGCGTCGAGCGCGGTCGCGCCGTCGGTCAGACGGTCGACCATGTACATCTCCACCTGCTTCAGGCCGCCCATGCCCGCCCTCTCCACCACGCTCTGGTACTGCCCCGACTGGGCCGCCTCCATGGACCCCACGACGAGAACCCGGTCCGGGGATGCTCCACCCGTCGTGGCCGCATCGACTGCCGTGGAGCCAGAGCCCATGTCGATGTCGGGTCGCATGTCGAGCGCAGCAATGGAAGGCGCCATGATGCTTATGATGGGGTATAGAGTGCCTGCCTGGGTGATGCGACTTTTGTTGACGTGTGTTTGGATCTCTATTCTCTCTGGTTGGTGGTGGTGTGACGAGACGCTGCTGCTGCTCATTCGACTCATCTCACCAACAAAAAAAATCTAAATGGGAAAAAAATTGGTTTGGCGAATTGAAACCGCTCGCTCTCGCCACTTTCGACATCTTATCTCGGCCGTAAGCACACCCGCGACGCGAAAGGGCTTCGAAAACACCGATAAAGCTTGATTACTAATCTTGAGTAGAAATACACTTGCAAATAAATGAGGAACGCGCGCGCGCGAGAGAGATAGAGGGGGCATTTGTCAGGCGGGCGGTGGTTGCTGCCTGTTCTGCTTGATTTGCCAGAAGGACGGCATTGGGGGCTTCAGTATTTGCACGCCTGCCGTTCGCCTGGTCATCTTCTTGGCTGGAGCATGCTCCTCGGGAGATGAGCTCCGTGTGAGGATGGGAAGTAGGCGGTCGTTCTCCAGCGCTCTCTTCTTTTTGTTCGGATTCGTTGGCTTCTCTAAAGGTGACAGCTCCCTGACCGATGGGCCCAGCCCTGAAGGCGTTAAGCTTGAGCTATTGATCTCATTCTCGTGTGTGGATTCCTGAGGAGACAGAATCGCGACCATCTGCACAGCTTTGAGCTCCTGGGGCGGGTCTTCAAGTAATGGCTCTGACGACGTTATGTGCTCTTCCGCTGTCGCCTTGTCCTCCATGACTGGTGGTGGGCCGTGAACTATTGTCGACGGCGCATCCTCGTGAGAAGTCGTCACTTCGATCAAGGCCTTGGCAGATGGTGGCGAGCAGGGAATGGTGGTCGTCTCTGCGGCTGAAGCGGCACTGATGCGTTCGACCTCGCCACCGTCATCTGCCTTGTTCTGGCTCGTCGTTGTTGAAGCACTAGTCTCAGTGCCGTCCTCATTCGACCCATCTTCGCCGTGGAACAAAGGGGCACCTTCAGCTTTTTCGCCGCGAGCCGCTGCAGCAGCGTCAGCGTGGACTTCGACGCTTGGCTCCTTCGACGAGCACACCGCAGCGGTGGCGCTGGTGTGCATGTCTCGCTTTTCTTCTTTTTCGTCGTCGTCCGGGCATTGTCCTCCCGAGGCGGAAGGTGCAAAGGGACCGAGCGGGGGAGAGAGGGATGAAGACTCCTTGACGACCGTCGATCGATCCCTTTCTTGAACGAGCTTGGCTCGTCCAACATTTGAAGCATTTGCCACCTGGCCGATTTCACGTCCCAACGACTTCCTGCCAGTCTTCTTGTGCCTTTCCTTTTGGGCCCTCGCCTTCGCCTGAGCCACTGACCTCCCTTCCCCGACAACGACGGTGACTTCTCCCAGTGACAAAGTCTTCAGTGCCAATGTTTCGTAGACGGGTTCTTTGAGCGGCACCTCTGGCTCCGTCAGCGTCGCATCTGGATCCACGCTCAGCGCATCGTCGTAGTCGTCGTCTTGAATCAAAGTCCGATCCGTCTCTTCCGATTTGACACGCTTTCTTGCCCATGTTTCTGTGGCTTTTGTGTCGCTCGCGACCGAGTCTGATCGCTGGCCAGGAGCCACGTCTGGGGTCGAGGAGTGCGCCGCATACTGATCCATCCTGCTGGTCCCATTATGCCTCGGCCGCCCTTGGGGATTGATCATCTTGGGCAGCCTACGCTCCTCGTCAGGCACCCCTTCTTGCTCGGCCTTCCACTTGGCCAGCTGGTCGAGGACATGTTGGGGAATCTCGAAATCCTCGCCGACCCTGGGCCCGGCGAGGATGTTGCCATCGTAGTCAACCTTGATGTGACGGTAAGGGTCGAATTTCTGCGCTCTTGTAAAGAAGCCCTTTCTGGTGAGAAGGAAGAACTTGTCGGCCATGACATCGCCGGCAAGGAATTTAAAGCTGGGGTCGACGCCCGGTAGATCCGCAAATGCAGTCTCCAGGTAGACGAGAGCGGCAAGGGCCTCCTCGTCACCTCCAGTGATCGAATTTCGCCACTTGGCATCTGCTCTGTCTTGGGCCATTTCGCTTGCAGACTTGCGTTTCCTCCGCTTCCTCATCGCCTCCGTCTGAGCATCTTCGGCATCGTGTTGCCCTTGAGCGGCCAATGCGGCCAGGGCCATCGCTCGTTCTTTCTTCAACCGTCTTTGCTTTTCGGCCAAAGCTCGCTTCGACACTGGCTCACCGTCGGCATCGACCTTTCTAGGCCTGCCTCGGCCTCTCCTTGCTTCCTTTGCCTCCGAGGGAGTCTCTGATGTTCTTTCACGCCTGTCTCCTTCGTCTGCCTTCTCATCCACCTGCATTGGCAAGCACCGACTCGCATCAACGTGATCTGCTGCTTCTTTCTCTTCCGTCGCCTCTTGGAATCGATCCTCCGCTGGCATCACTGGCATCGAGGTAGCCCGATTGACGTGGGCCTCCTCCATTGGAGGACCCCCCATCGGCGAGGCAGACTTTGTCGCAACGTCTAGAGCACCGCGGCTTGCAGCTTCCATCGCAGGTTGACGTCCCTCGGAGTGGCGATTCCGCTTTGGCTCTACAGTGTTCTCCTCGTGTGGAGCGGCAAGCTTTCTCAGCCACCGAGGAAGCTTGAAGTCCTCGTCCCCGTCAAAGAATGCTAGCCGCATCGCCTTGCTCTTGAGGTCTTCGCACGCCTCGGGACCGCACGGGTGCCTAAATCCCCCATCCTTTGGTCCTGCAGCCTCGCTCTCGCTCTCGCCCTCTCCTTCGACCTTTGCTGATCCAGCATTGGCGGCCTTCCTAGAAGTGTATTTTCTTTTAGTCCTTGGTGCTGCTGCGGACTTGAGCGCTGGGTCGGGGCCAGGATAGGGTAGCACGGAAAGGGCATCGGGAACGGGCGCTACGATGGGCCAAAAGTGCTTCATCTTGGCAATCGCCCACGCCAGCGCCAGGACATTGTCGTTAGGGATCACGGTTTCGTCGAAGTACACCGGCTGGACCATGGACATGCTCTCGGTGGCCCAGTACTCCTTGTACGTTGCAATGGCCACGCCCAGCTCGTACGGATCTGCCCTGGGAAAGAGAGCGGCCCGTAGCTCCGCACAGTGTTTTTCGCCCTCCGTTCGATCCTTGAACCAGTCACTGTTTCGATCGGTGTCAGTTAGTTTTCGATTAGTTTACAAGGCCAGAGCACCATTGCAGCCAGCTCACTCATCTCTTTGGACGGATTCGAGGTCGAGAAAGTCCTTGCCCCAAGTGAGCTGCGTAACAAGCCATTCAATCGGCCGATTAGGCAAGAAGAGGCGACAGAGGCATTTGAAGTGTACCTTGTATACCTCGTTATCCTTCCTCGTTAGGCCGTTGGGCATCCTCTTCCAGCTGTTCACTTGACCTTCGCCATTGGTAAAGGTCTCGATCATCAAACGCCTGTGGCGGTTGCTATTCGGTCGCACCTGACCAGCGGAGAAGTACTGATGCGGTTCGGGAGGCGTGAAGCCCGACATGCGCAAGCATCTTGCAAGCGTCTTCTTCTCCATTGGCAACAGAGGTTCGAAACTTCTCTCGCTGATTGTGATCCCGGGTTCCAGAGTCTGTGCGCGACACTCAGAAAACAAGCCATCCACATCGATGCCGGCCAGTCGGTCGTCTTCCTCGTCATCATCGAGCTCGTCGTCATCGTCTTCATCGTCTTCGTCGCCATCGTCGTCGCTGGTCCCCCTACCATCTTCCTCGAGGTTGCCGTACTCTTCCTGTCCGTGCCATTGAGACCGGAAAAGATCACGCGCGGTCTCTACATCGTCGATGCGAACGACAGTGTTGGCGGACTCATCCGCCGTCGTCGCTTTTGTGGGAGCTGGCGTCTCGCTATCGCCACGCTCCCTTGAATCGAGCCTGGAGCTTCCCGGCGCGATCCAGAAGTCGGCCCACTCTGGAGCGGCCACTCTCTCCGACATCGACGCCATGTCGATGCATCTAGAGACCGAGCAAAGCAGCTGCTTGGAATCGACGTAAGACGGAGGAGGAGTGGTTGGACTTTGTGTTGATTGGAACGCGTCTCTGGTGCAAAGGGCAGGAAAGACCACAAATTTCGGTCAGTCAATTGGTCACACAAGTCGCACGCGAGATTAGAGCTCGCTCCACCTGCCGGGCCCGAAGTCGGAGGATCTCGACCTTCGAATTTTGGTTTCGTCTACTCTTCGCAGCTGAAGACGACGACGACGACGACAGCGCCGACGACGGGCAACACGTCTCAAAGATGAGCTGCCCAGCTCCCTCACAAGCGTTATTTGCAGCACAGCGTAGCGAAGGAGCCTGCCCCCGTGTGCGACACCTTCTCACCGGCACTTTTAACACGCACTTCCTCCACCTCCTCTCCTTCGACAGCCTGACCAGGACCCTCTCCGTCCTTGCCTCGCTGCCGGCGCAAGGTCCCCACTCGTTTCTTGCGGCAGGGCGGTCCGGCTCGTCCGCTGGTAAGCTGGTAGACCGCGTATATGCAACGACGTGGGCCCAGGAAAAGACGCTGAGCGCCTGGTCCATCGACTGGCATGGCGAGGCCGCCCAAGTTCGACTGATCAACTCTGTTCCCATTAGTGAGTGGGGAAGTCAGCAGATGATTTCTCAACCATACACTGTTTGCTGAGAAAAACTCGCATGACTAGCTGCAACATCATCCTATGTCCATGTTCAGCCTCCATCGTATTCCAGCTTGACGTCGCCGAGCTACGGCCTGCAACCGGGGCCAGCAAGGTTCCTCTACTCCACAGGTGGACCGACGGGCGAGGTGCACACAATTGATGCAGAGACGGGGGCATTAAGAGAAAAGACGCAGGAGATCGTCTTTCTCCGTGGCGGCCAAAAGGACCTGGAGGCGGCGGACAAGTCTCGAAAGGCGCTCCGCTACGGCGCACACAACGTCGATGTTGGAAGGGGCCACCTAGCGTATGTGGCTGATCTGTGAGTGTAGCCATCGAGAGTTGAAATTGCTAGGTTTGCAACCTGACAGTCCGTTTGCGCTTCCGAAGAGGTCGCAATGCCATCTTGACCTACCAGCAAGACCCGGAGACTGGCCTCCTTGGCGACCTGCTCTCCGAAACGGCCTCACCCGACGACGGCGATGGTCCTCGCCACGTCGTGCCTTCGCCTGACGGCAACTGGGTATTTGCCGTCACCGAGCACACAAGCTACCTGGACGTGTACCGGCAAGAAACATCGCCGCAGTCTTTGAAGCATGTTCAACGTCTATCCTTGCTGCCTCCCGACGTCCCCATTACAGACTACCGAGGCGACACTGTCCGCCTCTCGCCTGGCGGGAATGAGATTCTGGCAACAACAAGAGGCAAGACTTCAGCCATAAAGGGCTTCGTCACCGCGTGGAAGCTCAACTGGTCAGCTGGCCTCTCGCCCGTCGTGGGAGGTCAAGAGCCCGTTTCGAGGTTCGAGACGCCCACGTCAGGAGGCAAGGCAAATGCCATCGAATTTGCGCCTCGGTATGCAAGCAAAGATGGCCAAGGATCTCACGTGAAGGATCTGGCAGTCTTGACTGACGACGAGCAAGGATTCGTTCTCGTGCTCGAATGGAACGGTACTGACCTCGTCGAAGTCGCGCGAACAAAGCTGCCGGGCAAAGATGACGAGGACGAAAACGAACCTGAAAAGGCCAGCCATGCCATCTGGCTCTCTTGAAGCATGCATGTACACACTCTCACGCACACTTTCACACTTTCTTCTTCCTGCTGCTGCAAAGGATATCATGGCATTGTTGCACGCTTGAACGACGGCTACTTCTTCCAGAGGTTCATGAGCTCCTTTTGCAAGTCTTTTGCCTGCCGTTGACGTTCCAGCGAATCGGGGCTCCTGAGCTGGCCAACAATGTCCTTGGTCTTTCCAAAGTAGACCTCCTGGAGCGAGTTTCGGATCTTTGCCTCCATGTCCTCGACCATTCTCCCCATGTTGGCAATGTGCGACTGAGCGTCGGCCACAGAGTGGTCGCCATTCGTCTGCCGCGTCAGGCTTCCTGCGAGGTCGAGCGTTCCCAGCTCGCCACTGGTGCCGCTGCCTGCCTCCTTCCGGCCGAGGGAGAGCATGACGGTGCTCGTCAGGTTGTACGACGCCGAGCGCCCGCCGCCGCGCTCCGACACCTCAAAGACGTGCAGCGAGTCCCAGCAGCCCGACGTGCCGGGCCCTGATCCTCCTCCGTCGAGTTCTGTTCGCAGAGGGAACTTAAGAGTCAGCAGCAATCTTGCATCTGAGATGAGAAAACTCACCCTTCTTGAAGAGCACAACGCCTGCGAAGCCTGATCCGTCGAGCTCCCAAAGGTACACCGAGGAGAGGCCACCGTCGTAGTAGCTGTTTCGTGACTGTGTCAGCTGGCGATCTCTTCTCCCACATGCACAGAGTGGGGAAAAGGCGGAGTCCGAAGGGGACAAGCGCACGACTCACAGCTGCCTGTATGTGTTGAACGCGTCGTTGGCCTTGACCTCGAGATCCCTCAGCTTCGGCGGCGGCACTGTGCCGTCGTCCAACGGAGGCTCATATGCGTTGCTCCATGGGCTCCGATAGCTGTCTCCATCGCGATTGTAGTCGCAGGCGAGGTACTCTCTCCCCGCGCCTTCCTTTGTTGAGTCCGTCTTTACCAGTGACGGCTGGTCTACTGACGAGATGAGCTCCTCGGCCAGCTCGGGGCAGAGGTTGATGAGCGTCTCGAGGTTGGACGAGATCTTGGACGGGGGAAGCCGTCGGAGCAGGTCCAGCGCCGAGGCGAGGGGGTCTGACATGGTTGGAACAACAGCTGCTGTCCCTCTGTGGTTCACCGGCTGCGTCTAGCGAGTCACGTCGAGAGTCGAGAGATCGGGGAGAGAGTCTAGGAGCTACCGGCTGAGCGACAGTCAAGTAGCAAGTACCTTAGCTTGGGTGGCTTGGGCTAGGAACTCCACGTGTGGAAATGGAGCCGTGCGCCAATTTTAGACGTGGTCCCCTCTGGCCTTGGCTCTCGAAGTCTTCTTCTTTGACTCTCTGTCGACCGAGCTCTCTCACAATGTCAGCTTCGACAGGCGCGGCTGCATCGCCGTCGCCGCCATCACCATCGCCCGAAGAGCTGGCAAAGGCGGCTTCGCTGCTCTCGACGTATGTCAAGGAGGATCGGGGCGATGAGGCGATCGCCAAGCTCCATGCATCGTCGCTCTCGTCCAAGCAGGCTCGGCAGGCTGCCTTGGAGCGCCACATGCTCGACTCGGCTCCCCAATACCTGAGCTTGCATTCGTCGCTGCACGACTCGACGCAGCTCCTTCAGCAGCTTGAATCATTTCTCACAACCTTCCACACCGACCTCGAATCGCTGTCGTCGCAAATGACGCATCTCCAGGGCCGCTCCCTGTCGCTGGCTACCCGGCTGCAGAATCGGCGTGCACTCGAGAACCGACTCAACAAGGTCCTGGGGGGCATCGCGCTCGAGCCTCATATTGTTGAGCTCCTCTTTGCCGACGAACAAGACGCTAAAGGCATGGCAAGCACCTCGAAGCTGGACCTCAATGGCTGGAACGATCTCGTGGCGCGACTCGACCTGTGCTTGCGAGCCTGCAGTGAGGCTGGTGTCCTCCTTGCCGAGGCCCAATCAGGCTCGGGAATGCAGTCGCCCAGCCTCAATGGCGAGGGTGGCCTCCTGGACGCCAATGTCAAGTCACTCAAGGAGGCCAGGGAGGTGGCCGAGGGATGCAAGTTCATGGCCGCCAGCAAGCTTCGGCCGCTCCTGACGAGCAGCTTTGCGCCACTCCGCAACTCGCTCACGACCAATCTGCCCGTGCTCCAGTCGGTCCTGCTCCGGACTCATCGGCCCCTCTTTCGGTTTTTGTCCCAGCATACACCGCGAGTGGCCATCGATGTACAGAGAGCATATGTAGTCAGCGCAAGACTCTACTTTGAGACGGGTTTTCGCAGATATGCGAGAAGCCTGGCCTCCGTCAGAGATCGAGAAAAGCGAAGTGCAGGCGCAGAAGGGACGATCGTCGATGTCGGCAAGTCAGCCATCTGTGAGCAGCTCTGATAGTTGGGTGCTTTTCTTTTCTTCTTGCTCTGCTGACACAACCTCCTCATTCTAGCATCACTGCTATCGAACCCCTTGGGAACAATGAATTCACTGGCAAATCAACCGAGCAACGCAAGCCAAGATCCATGGCTCGTCGAGCCTGGACGGCTGGACAATGCCAAGCTGTCCGATGGTCCGTCCGTCGTGCTGGCGTACCTGGCCGACGATACCTCCTACAAGGCTCCGCTCGAGGCTCTCTTCCGGTCATTATCGCTGGCCCTGCTCGACAATGCCTCGTCCGAGTATGCTTTCCTGGCACGTTTCTTTGAGAGCGTCGATCTCGTCGGAGGTGGTGCAGAGGGGGTCGAATCGAGCGCCGCTGGCTCCACAACGGCTTCTGGTTCAGGCCGGGGCGCGCGAGCAAAGGGTTCAAAAGAGACGCACGGGATAACGACAGCCAGACAAGACGAGGAGGATGAAGGGCCTCTGCCGGAAGAGAGCGCCAGCGCGGCGGGAGACATGGAAGACGATGATGATGGCAAGACGGAGATCGGCGAGGAGGGTGGGAATGTAGTCAGCCTGTCCGAGGTTGAGAAGAGACGGTTGCGGGGAAGAGGAGCCATCGACGGTCTTTGGAAGCAGATCATGGAGCCCGTCATTGGAACGTACAACGTGAGTATAAATCAAAGTGCAGAGCACAAGAGGAAGATCCTGAATCGCAGAATCTCACCTTTCCACAGTCTTTCTCACAGTCCATCCTTGCCGCTGGCCCCTCGCTACTGCCACTTCTGACCATGGTCAAGCTCAACGATGCTGTTGAAGCCGCTGCCGTGTCTCGTGGCTGCTCCTCGGTTCTCTTGCCCGTCGTGATGGGCTTCAAGATGCAGGCATGGCCCGCTGTGCAGCGCCAATTCGACGAGTGCATACAGGGTGTCAAGAAGCTCGCAGAGGGGTCTACTTCCTCTTCTGGCGCTGCTTCTGCCGGCTTGTCAAGCCTGTGGGGCGGTGGCGGATCTGCTGGCGCGGCAACCAACAGCGGAGGACCCGAGAAGGACGCAGCCATCAAGATGGTGAGTGGATCATTGGAAGCTGGGGCTTGCAACGGTTCCTGAACGAAGGGTCTCATTCACCTTCGACAGATTGCGACACGCTATGCAAAGCTCTTCTCGAGCGTCGTCAAGCTATGTGGGGAAGATGAGGACGCGATGCTCTTTGCAAGGTGGGTCTCTCTCTCTCTCTCTGTCCCCTTACGTTCTTGAGTCGTTCTGCTGACGGGACATGTGACAGTCTCAACCGCCTCCGGACAGAGGTGGAAGGACTCATAAAGACGCATGCCGACCGGCTCACCGAAAGGCCTCGACGTTTAACATTCGACATTGAGTGCCACGAAGCCGTCTTGCGGGCCCTAGAGTCGGGTCCCGCTTCGATTAGCATGGCCAAGGTGCAGGCAGAGACAAGTCACTGGCGGGAGGAGCTCGACAAGCGGAAACGCACTTGAGAGAAATTGATGAGAGTATGCTATTGGGACAGATTGGCAGCTATTTGTAGAGGGCTCTGGGCTTGCAGGAGAAAGAAAAAGAAATGGGGCAGAAATGAAGCAGTAGCAACTGAAACTTAATGATAACAATGGGTGACATGATAAACGCTCAATCTTTTTTTCCTTTCTATGATGTCTTCCGTGATTTCGCATCAGAGTCGAGTCTTTGCCGAAGAGGCAGTGGAGGAAGGAGCAGCGACGAGGAAGCCGGCAAAGTACTTCTCGATTGCGTCGATGTCGTCGAGGCCCAGGACGCAGCCAACGTATCCGTCAGGTCTCACGACGACGACGCCGCCCTTCTCGCGGTCGAGGCCCCACTTGCTGTGCAAGCCACCGACGGACTCGTCGCCGTCGTCGTCGCTCAGCCGCTCTCCGCCGGGCTCAGTGTCGTCTGCGTAGATCCACGCGCGGAGCGGGCCGAGGTGCTTGACATCGTCCAGCTCAAAACTAAATCGATTCTTGGCGACAATGAGGAGGCAGTGAAAGAAAGGGTTGACCTCTGTGCTGAATCCGCCCTTGAGGCCCGAGTTGAGTGCGTCGGGCTTGGAGCGGTGGTATGGACTTGGCTGGAGCGCTTTCCTGTTGGCCCTGTACCGGTGCAGGAACGATTGAGAAGAGTCGAGATGGTCGGCGAAGCGCTTGAGGGAGGGAGAGGAGAGGTCGCCTGCGCAGACGTATAGACGGAAGCCGCCTGGCGCGGTGAATTGGACTTCGTGAATGATCCGGACGGGCGTCGAGGAGACCCAGCGTGTAGCCCAAGCGGGTGTGAGTCTCGTGCCCGCCTGGAGCTTCTTTTGTTCGCGGTGAGCCAGCTGCGCGCCCAGCGAGGCATCTGCGCGTCGATGGTTGAGCACATTGTCGCCGTAGAAGACCCCAGCACCGGTCGTGAAGCCTGCGTTTCTCCGCTGAACCTCGACAAAGTGCTCCTGGAGCTCCTTTGCCGACAATTTTGCCAGCTCCGGTTGGTTCTTTGGGATCTCTCCCGAGAAAAGGGCGGCGTACTCTGCGTCAAAGTCAATGAGCTGCTTGCCCGTGGCGTGCCGCTCCTCGTGGTAGGTCGACAGCAGCGACTGAGGATCTGCCAAGCCCTTTTCGACGAGATTGATGCGCCACGCCAAGGCCTGGGCATCGATGATGGCCGTGTTCATCCCTTGGCCAGCCTTGGGGCTGTGGGTATGGCAGGCGTCGCCCGCCAAAAAGACGTGGTGTCCCTGGAACTTGGTCGGGCCTTCGGTGCCCGCCGGGAGCGAGTACCTCGAGACAAGGCGCTGGCCAATGGGATAGCAGGTGTACCACTCGATTGCCTTGAAGGTAAAGTCGTAGGGGTGGGCAATCTCCTGGATCGCCTTCATGACCATCTCGCTCGTCACCTTGTCCTTTGCCTCGAGTGCCGACTCCTTGCTCTTCTCGCCCTGCAGACGGTTCACCTGCGTGTAGCAGCGGATAATAGGCTCCCCGTGCTCGTTATTCTCGCGTGGGAAGATGTAGAGGGCGCCGTGGTTCCTCGAGTGAATGGCTGCAATCTTGCGCACATCGGGGAAATTTGTCTCGACGACGCAGTCCAGGGCCGCCCAGAGCGTGTCAACCCAGTCGCCCTTCATTTCGACGCCGTGCTTGCGCTCCATGACCTGCCGAACACCCGAGCGACCTCCATCGCAGCCGATGAGGTACTTTGTCTTGATCGTCTTTCGCTCCCCCGTTGGCTTGACGACGTACGTGGGCGCGCCGCCCGATGTCGACGTCTCCTGGACCGGCTGCATCTTTTCGAGCGTGACCGTGACGGGGTGCAGCGCGTCGTCGGTCATGACGAAGTCGATGAATTTCCAGGGTCGCGTAACCCGCTGGCCGTGGCGCTCCATGTCCCTCAGGAAGCCGCCCTCGATGAGTCCCTGCTGGAGGCCAAGCGTGCAGTTGTCCTGGATCTCCATGTGGGTGGGAAACGACTGGACGCGCCGCGCCCGCACGATGCCCCTCTGCCCGTCTGGGCGTGGGTCCCAAAACGTCCGCTCGTACGAGGCAGCGCTCCGGTCCACGAATTCGGTGCCCAGAGGCTCCATGTTTCGGAAGACTTCAATCGTCTGCGAGAGCAGGTCAGCTCAAGAGTCATGATTCACGCGTATTTACATGAAAGAAACTCACCCTCGGCTGGATGCCATCGGCCCTTCCTGCCGTTGTCGGCTCTGACCTCTCATCGACGACGAGAACATCATGGCCTCCAAAGCGAGCAAGCGAAGTCTGTTTCATTTGCGATCACGTCTTGTCAGTTCTGAAGCCAGTGAGACAGAGGCAAGGGAACTCACGGCGTTCATCAGTCCCGCCGGACCAGCGCCAATGATGACCACATCCCACACCTGCTTGTCGATGTGGGTGAGCGGATCGGGGTAGTTGTGGGTGCCGTGTGCATATTTGCCTCCACGCGTCTCTTCGACCGTCGGCGGTCCTGCAGCAGCCATAATCCTTCTTCTTCTTCTTGTAGATCTGTGTGATTGCGGGCTTCTCGGAGCGTGTGAGTGAGTGGAGCTATCAGAGGGTCTTGCTGCGAAGCGAGGCGAGATTGCGAGAACTTTCGAGGCTGCAACGGTCGAGAAGACGTTTTTATAAGGTGAGCAGGTCTAAGTGATCGAACGGGCGCCGCGGACCCTCAGTCCGGATCTCGCGGGTAGCAGAGTATCGCTGAGAGGGGGCAGGCAGCAGCGCGCCAAAAGCCAAAAAACAAAAGGGCCAGCCCTAGGCTAAAGAGAAAGTAGGTAGAAGCAGAGTCTTGAGTAAGAAGCTGTTGCTAAAGGAAAACCCCACGCAAGCGCCCTTCTACATACAACAACAGCGACACACGCAAAGGAAAACCAAAGCGTAGGTACCGAAGCGGAGAAAATAAGGCCATGGGTAAAACGTAACGAAACAATTTTCTGCAGTGCACGGTTCGCTCAGTTTCGGAAGTCACGGCCAAAGACATGTCAGTCATTACGTGTGCGCGCTCTGCGAGGTGTGCCTGGAAATTCGATCAGCCAAGCCGAACTTTTGCTGAGTAGAACATGGTTCTTACTTTCCTGCTTTGTGGTACACTACACTACTACACTAGCTACTGCAGACATGGCAAGAAAACCTCTGTCCGCTTCTTGTCCGATGTCGGAGCCGCTTAACACGGAGGACGTTTGCGCGCCTTTTTTCTGTGCTGATTGCTATCAATGACAACCTTCACTCGACCACTCCTGTTCATAATGGGCGCCAGTCAGAGTACTTGTCACGGCAGCTCGGCATCGTAAATAAAGCGGCGAATAGAATTGCGTAGTAGAATTGCGTAGTGAGAGAGGGAGTTGGGGCGCATGTGGCTGAGCCAGGGGCCTTGTCAATGGCTGCGAAATGTGAGCTCATCGACGAGGCCAGAGGCGAGCCAGCCCTCTACAAAGAGCTCGCCAGACGTCAGGAGGACAGTGAGTGTCCACGTCAGCTGGATGTAAATGTCATACCACCGTCTCAGCGCCTCCTTTTCGTCCGGAACCGTGACCCCTTCTGACGAAGGTAGCGCGGACAAAACGGCCGGGCCAAAATTGGTCACCTTGCGCGGCGCATCTTCCTCGTCATCCGTTGTCGAGGCTGAGCCTGCGGAGCCGCTGTGCTTTGACCGCAATCGTGCATCACTTCTTGTTGATGTGGATACTGTCGCCGTAGTCGACGCCGACGGTTGTACACTGCTGCCTTTTGCTTTTTGGAGCTCTTTTCGTCTCTGTGCCATGACAATTTTGCCTACCACGGCCTCGACCACGACAGCGAGCCCATTCAGCAGAAAAAAGGTGAATTCGCCTGCGCCGCTGAACGGTGGCAAAAATGACGTGACACTCCAAATGCCACTCCCATGGCTGCCTCCTTTACCAGCCGCCAGGAGCACCGTGGCGTGCTGCGGGGGAAGCGCCAGTCTGCCCCCGAGCGCCGCTCGCTCGCTGACGGCGTGGATCGCACCGCTGGCCACAAAGGCGCCCACGACCTTTCCCCAGTCGCCCTGGCCCCGATTCAGCACCCGTCCCGGGTCTGCGTGCCGGGCTGGCGAGGGCCGACCGTCGGCAAAGGGTGTTGATGGTGCAGCACGTCCCTGCGCGCGAGCGACGATCCACCTGAAGGCGTATTCGATGAGTAGCGCCAGTCGTTGAAAGGGCAGCACGCCATAGACGAGGAAGGCACGGTGGAAGAGACGATGCCAGCACTTGCTCCAGAAGCACCGCACGCTGCGTAGCTCCGTTAGATTGACGGGGTTGAGCAAGGGGAAGAAGTCGACGTTGTGCAGCTCCTCGCTCGGCTGCGCTGCTGCCGTGGCCGAGGGGGCGATGAGCCTCAGGACGGGCAGAGCAAGGGCAGAGACGACGGTGTAGCCAAAGTCAAAGAGGGCATAGAGCGAGACGCCGGTGAATGCGACAAACAACGGCCGGAGGCCAACGGGCAGCCGCGTGATGCTCATGCCGGTGACCATGTAGTCGGATGCGTGCTTCGGATGCACCTTGAGGTCGACCAGCGAGCTGTTGTTCGGTAAGCAAGTTGCACCAGTATTTTGTGCTAACCAAAATCTGCTAACTCACACCATGGCACGAAGACCGAATAGGCAGACGGCCAGCACAGGACCAATCTTGAAAAAGGCTCGGTGCAACTGGCGACGGCTTGGCGGCTGCCAGGGATTGGTGTCGTGTCTCACGTCGGGCGACGCATAGTCCCAGCCCACACCTCTCACTATCGAGCTCGGGTCAATTTCTTTTGATCGGTCCGCCTGCACCCAACAGCGCTGCTGACTCACTACTAATGAGCAGGTCCAACGCCCACCAGAGTCTAGCTTTGAATCCAACGGGATGGTCTTGCGTCGGCCATTGTTCATTTGGCAGCTCGCTGGGATACTGTCTTCCAGTCGCTGGTTTGCTCGTGTCCAGCCTCAGGCGCCTCGGCACGCGAGGATAAGAGAGGAAGAAGACGTCAAAAACGCGGCATGCACCGTAGCAGCCCACGAGTCCGAGCTGGTAGGTGAGAATGGCGCTGCCGGGTACGTGGTATGCGAATGGCAGAACCGCAAATGTCACAATGCTGATGGTGGCAAGGGCGAATCGGAGCGAGGTAGCTAGTGTTTGCCACTTCCCCGTTGCTGCTACTGCTGAAGAAGAAAAAGCACCGTGATGAGACAGAGGCGGAAGCAGCGTCAGTGCGACATAGTAGCTCAAAGGAGGCAGGATGGCGGCCCAGACCGGAATCGGCTTCGAGCCAGGTAGAGGGATGAAGTGGGGATTCTGCGGCGAGAAGGCCCGGGGATCGAGGGGTGTCGTCAAGGCACCGACGACCCGTTCAGACACCGTCTGCGGCCGCGCTGGAGGCGAGGTCCTTAGAAGGTTTCTGAGGGTATCCATGGTGGTCTCAACGAGGAGCTCTTCTCCCCCTGTAGATTAACATTGCCTACGCTTTCTCCCTAGCCTCCACTACTACTACTAGCCTCTGGCTAGCTTAGCATAATGTCAGGAGTCTCACCGTGAGATCTGACAAAGCTGCCTGTCAAAATACGGGCGGCTCGGTGTGGAGTCGAGCTAGGTTTAGTCATCCCACGCACTTTACGTCACTATTGATCTACGACCCCGATAAAATTGACCAGATCGCGTTGCAGGCGAAAAGCATGAGATTTAGGGAGTGTAGTAGTGGCAGGGATGGGTAAGGTCGTTTCCACGCCCTAGGAGCGGTCGGTTGCCTGGTGCACAGCGAGCCGCGCGCTCTTTGCAGCCTACTTCACCCCAAAATATGTTGGAAGCCGATTTATGATTCAGCGTCATCGCGGTATAGGACCAAACAGCGGTCCCGTACTCAAGCACATTCGTTAAGCATGCCCTTTGGCCAGCTTGCGTGGCGCCCACTTCAGGAACACCGGATTACGGTTCTGCTTCTTAACCAATGACTTCCAATTTTAGATAGAATTACATGCATACGCTGTAGCCCGCTATCGCTAGGCATGCGACGACTCGAGCTGCTTGAGCTTGTCGAAGATGGTCTGGCGGGCTTCCTTTGTTGAGGTATTGGCACTCAAGGTCAAGCGTTTGAGGCTGGGGCTATAAAGGTTCGCCTCGCCTGTCCGCTGGTAGCGCTGTCCCTCGGAGTTGGCGTAGAGGTAGAAGGGTACCTCTGCGTATCCTCCCGGGAGTGGCGACGAGGTAAGGAGCGGCAGCTTTTGCACGACGCTGAACAGCTGCGGAATGGGCCAGGGGAAACCGGCATTCTTGGCCCCGTCCGTGGCGACGATCCCGGGAAAGAGATGGGAAAAGACCATGTTGGGGTGCTCCTCGGCCCACCTCTGCGTTACGGCGTCGAGGATGCTCGAGTCGCGCTGGCCCGTTCTGAGGAGGCCCAGCGGGGCCCAGAGCTTGCCGGCCTCACGCGCCTTGCTCAGGTCCAGATCGTCGACGTCCAGCGCCGTCTTGCTGCCCATACCGGGCGACGCGATGATGCAGACGCCCCGCCTGATCGTCTTTGCTTCGAGGAGCGTCTGTGCCAGCGTGAAGCGCGAGAGGCACTGGACGGCAAAGTGGGCGTCGAGGCCAGTAGGCGTCTTTGTCGATGAGAGCGGCGGTGGGCCACCTTCAAAAACAAGTTGCCATCTTGGTCAGAGGTACGCTGCAGCAGATTCGCTCCCTTGCACCGGCACACTCACCCTGACACTCAAAGAGCCAATCCACGCCCCGTGAGCCGGCCCTGCGCGAGATCTCAGCTGCGATGCGATGGTTCTCCTTGACACTGCTCAGATCGGCTTTGAAGAAGGCGTGGTCGGCCTGTGTCTGCTGCTGCTGTGTAGATCGCCTTCTCTGGGCTTCGTCGCTGGCCGCCCGCAGCTTCTCTAGCAAGGCCTCCGCCTTATCCTCGGAACGTCCCACGATCCAGACCGACGCGCCAGAGAGGGCAAAGCGCAGTGCGATGCCCGCCCCGACGCCCTGCGTGCCGCCTGAGACGACGGCACGCTCCGAGGCTTCGAGCTGGACGCTCTCATTGGCCTTTGTCAGGGTGGATTGGCTCGGCATGTTTTCGTACGAATCGCGCACACACTGTTTGTTGGCTGTCTTCGTCGACGTCAAAGAGGGTTAATCCGTGCCTTCCTCCACTTTCCTCGCAAGAAAGGATTTCGACTACTGGGTCTGCCTGCCCTGTGCGCGTCTCTGCGCGCGCGCGCTTCTTGATGTTTCCTGACAAAGCGCGCGCGCATGCACGCCGGGCGAACAGAAGGGTATGCATGGTACGATGGATGATGATTAGGGTAAGCTGAATGAACAAAGGGTCCCCCTTCCTTCCTCAAACAATTGTCACAACTACCAACACAATTGCGAATCATGTCGGCACCAAGCGTCGCCGTCATTGTGGGCTCTGGCCGCGGCATTGGCCTCGAGCTCTCGCGGCTGTATCTGGCCCAGTCGAAGCTCAATCTCGTCTGCCTTTCGAGGGACGCTGCTGCGGCACGCGACGCCATCCTCGACTCGGGCAGGCCGGCGCCCCTGCAGGTGCACAGCAACGGGTCGTCCAAGTCGTCGTCGTCCGAGGTTGCCTCCAAGCTCGACGGCAGCAGGCTCACGACCATCGAGGCGGACGTCAAGAGCGAGGACAGCCTGCGAAAGGCGAGCGAGCAGGTCCGCGAGCAGTTTGGAAAGGACAGCCTGCGCTTCCTCATCAACGTTGCCGGTGTAGTGAGTGGCGCTGGCTCTACTCTCAAGTGAACGGCAGGTGGGGCTGACTGGATCACTTGTTTGCTCGCAGCTCAGGGTCGAGAAGAATATCAGTCAGGTCAATTACGAGGAGCTTCTCGAGCAGTTCCAGTGGGTGTCACTCTGATCTTGATGCCATGTAATCTTGCGCTCACGCTCACGCTCACCAAACGTCTCGCATTGCTTCTCGCCGCAGGATCAACACGTTTGCGCCGCTGTTTGCGATGAAGCACTTCTCGCCCCTCATTCCCAGGTCCTTTCCCTCGGGTGAAGAAGACTTGTCGCAGGGCCTGATGCCCGACGGCATCTGCGTCCTTGCCTCGCTCTCGGCTCGCGTGGGCAGCATCTCCGAAAATAAGCGGGGGGGCTGGTACGGCTATCGGTCCTCCAAAGCGGCGCAAAACCAGATTACGCGGGTGCTCTCGCATGAGCTGGTGCTGCGCAAGGCGCCGGCCGTCTGCGTGGGCCTGCACCCCGGCACTGTTCGCACTGACCTCTCTGAACCTTTTACGGGGGGGCCGGGCGGCAAATCGGGCGGAGAAAAGGAGGACTTTGAGACGAGAAAGGCTAGGGGCGAGTTTGAAGCAAACGAGTCCGCAAACCTCCTGGCAGGCGTCATCTCCAATCTCAAAATGGACGACGGTGGGAAAGTGTGGGACTGGCAGGGCAAGGAGATTGCTCCGTAATGGCAAGCATCGCAAGCCGACCGTCGATGGCGCCATTGCTTGTTGCCGTGTGCTGTCATCTGAATGGACAAATGTTTTTCCAGGCCCGCCTATCTTCGGCTTATGAGTGCTGAGACCGTAAATGCTTTTGGCCTGTTGGCCGTCTATGCTGTTGTATACAAGTTGGCTGGCTGGCTGGCTGGTTGCGCATCGCGTCTGAGTGAGGTTAGAGCGGATATCCAGGTCCGCGAGGAGCCGGTCGGCTTGAGGGTCCCACAACTGGGCGACGGGTGTTGCCAAAAAATGAAAGTCAGCTCGAAATGAGGCCACATCGATTCGTAGAGAATTCGTAGAGGGAAAAAGATAAGCCAGCTCGCCACTCCGCAGAGCAAGATGTCCGAAGTCGATGACGGTGATTGTGTGGCGCTGTACGCGGCAACGCGACGCCAGCTACTCGAGCCTTTTTTGTTGTTGTAATAGAGGCGTGGTGTGGGTCCCCTGAGGCCGCCCACTGAATTCGAAGCTATAAAGTACCCCCATGAACGCCCTCACCCTTTTTTCTTTTTGAGCCTCGCTTTCGCCCATTCCACGTAGGGCGAGTAAACGGAGCCGTTGGACGACCCCTTTCTCAGCCTAGCAGCGATAACGCCTTCTTAGAAACGCCGATACGCCACCTATATGAACAGGTTGAGTTGCTTGCAAAAAAATTCCCCTCCTACCACTTTCTCTCTCAACACTGACGGACGCTCACGTTGCCAGAATGCGGCTCAACAACTGCACACTCTTTTCGCCTCTTCTCGTCTGTCTCATTCTTTTCTCCACTCCCACCCTCCTTGTATACAGCCTGCCCATCGTCTCAGACCAGCAGAAGGACCTCAAGATCGAGGGCAGAAGCCAGGACTCTCCGCAAGCCGGTTTTGTCAGAGCGGTCGGAAACGCTAGCTCTGGCTCTCCGCGCATTCGCAAGAGGTGGGATCTGTTCGGCGGCAGTGAGTGTCCTTTTCCTCTCCTATATTACAGCCAATGATGTTGAGTACTCAACCGAATCGCTTCCCGTCACCTCAGGTCTCTTTGGTTGGGGAGGAGGGTTCCCTACTGAAAAAGCCACCTGAGAAAGCGTAGACCCGAGACTGCGATCAACGGCCGTCACGATACTTGCTCCCATGCAGCCGCCAGAGGGGACGGCCTGTGCAGCTCGCAGGTCCTGCGTGATTGCTCACACAATTACAACGACTTCTGTGAGTGCCTTCCCATGCGCTAGTAAACAGTTTCTAACGCTGTAGACTAACATCTTCATTCTAGTCGCCTCACCTACGCTCCTTTAATACCAACATGTACCATACAGAGCTCTGCTTCTCTTCCTTTTAAGGGCAGTGATATATATCCGGATCGATTTCATGACAGGGCCGGAGTGCATTGTGCAGAGCTGGCTCGCCCTTCGTGCACTGATGGACAGGTTCACGCAGCTGCACAGACCAAGCACAAATATCAAAAGGGCTCTCTTGGAGGCGATCTCTCGCAGCTTTCAAAGTCCGGGCGTGGGCTGATTTTCCGATAGGCTGCTCCAACCTCCCCTCTCATCTTGTGAGCACGCCCAGCTCTGACTTTGGTGAAGTGAGATGATGCGTACGAAATCTCCATTCTCATCGTTCTGTGCCCTCGTTTCCCCTTCTCTCATTTTGTCTCCTCCGAGGCAAATTTCCTTCCGGGCCCCTCGGCGACTTGGAGCCCCCTTGCAAACGAAGCGTCTGGATCTGTGCGGGGCGGGGAATAATTAGCCACATGGACGGTCAAAAAATTCCGTCTGCGTCTCCATGCGTGTGACGGATTTTGAGCCACAATGCATCGATATCTATCAGTACGTACTCTTGGCCAGGCTAGCTTCTCTCTGCAGGTCGCAATTTTAGCTCCTCTTCAGGAGGTCTGGACTCTTTTGTTTTTTTTTGCAGTCGATTTTCTTTTCCTTCGATTTTCCTTGGGCCGGGATTTTCCCTTCCCTTTTGTTAATTGACACAGGCCGGCTGGCCCCATTCCCCGGCCTGGACTCAGCGGTCAGGGTCCTAGACTCGAAGAGGGCGCGCGCACACGCACAGGCTCTTCCATCACTCACCGGCCCAACTTTTCGATTGACTCATCTTCTGGGCCAAGAACTTAGCGATCAATCTGGGTCCGGCTCGAGCCAGCTGGAGTTCAGTGGCGATCTAGAGAAAACGGCAGAAGCAGGAAAGATACGATAGCAAAACCGAGGACAAGGCGAAAAGAGCGAAGGAATTGCAGCGCAGCAGCAGCAATAGCAAGGCTATTTCCGGGTAAAGAAAGACGCAGCCGGCCATAGGGGCAGGACAGCAACAATAATATCCAAGCGCCGACTGGCGAGTCAACACATTGCAGGCAAGTCCAGACCAGACGTCAGGTTCGGACTGGACATCTTTCCTCTCTCTTTGGCCACGGTCCTCTTATTTTCTTTTCTTCTTTTTTTTTTTTTTTTTCCCATACCTCATCCATGCTACGGCTTCTGGTCTTGACAGCAGACTAGTTACCGTCGCCGCCGTCCTGAAGATCTGTCCAGATCCTATCGGTACGGGTCTTATTTCTGTGCGAGTCGTTGGTCGGCAAAGTTTCCGCTTGCCTTTGTTCGAATCTCGAACAAGACTCGCTCTGGCCAAGGTATCGAAGTCTGGGCCATCCGTCTGTTCTGCCGACTACTTCAGTCGACACAGAACCCTAGGGAAACACTCCCCCCATGGCTTCCATCCAAGTATCTATAGGAGCGATGGACGACGCCAATCCGAGCCTCTCGCCCTCGTCGTCGGCGAGAAGAAACAGCCTTGCTGTCCTCTCGCGCGCTTCGTCGACACCGCCAAGAGCAAACATCGAGCCCCTATCACTCTCATCCCCCTCCTCTTCGTCCGCTTACGACGCGACAGGCGAGGCAAGTCATCCAATGGCATCCTACTCGCTTGGCCGCAAGACCTATCTGCCTCTCGTCACGCCCGCTCTGGATCGCAGCGAGCCCTTCTTCCACGACCACAAGGTGGGGACAGGCAACCGAAAGCCTCGTAGAACAAGCATGCCAGCTTCTGCGTCGCACGCGAGGATGGATCTGGATGACCTCGTGCGTGAGGCACAGCGAAGGAGCAGATTGGTCCAGCGCAGAGACCTGCACATCCCTCACGACGCTGTCTCTCGGCCGCTGTTCAATGCCATCATTTCCAATCTCAGCAACGCCTCATCGCCCGCGGCTGCGTCCGACAAGGCGGCCAGAGTCGCCGCCGATCTCATTGCACTGCGCAGACGAAGTGCGCTGCAAACGTCGTCCCACTCCCACAAGGCTGCTGCTGCTGTGTCGCAGCCGAACTCACCCACTCCTACCTCGGCCGCACCAGCATCTCTGGGAGCGATGGCATCTTCCGGCGACTCATCCACGGCGACGTCGTCGTCGGCGGCCAGCCAGAGGCGCGCCTCTGTGCGCTCGCAGCAGCTCTCCCTCCTGGCCTCGCAGGCTCGCATGGTGAGCGTGGGCTCGAGCAGCGTAAAGACTGCCAAGCGAGCCGAGGCCGTCGTCAAGGGCGTTGTGCGCCAGGCGGTGGAGCAGCGTCGCAGCAGCACAATGGCCGAGAGGGGTCTCCTCGTCTGCGGCGGCGGCGGCGGCGGCAGTCGGTCGGCGCCCGTCAGCGAACCAACTTCGCCTGTGCTCAGTCCCCTTACCGCGGCGGCGGCGGCTGCGGTTGCTGCTGCTACTGCCGGCTCAAACCCTGTCGGCGAGATTGCTGCTGACTCGCTCCGGGATCCAACGAGGCAATGGGAGGCGACGCTCGCCCAGCCAGAGACGGCCACGGCCTTTATGGAGGGTGCCTCGGAGCTGGCAAAGGACTGGGCCAATGGCTTCTATGCCTATGAGCGGAGCTGGGCTGGCGATGCTCTGCGCAGGGAGAAGAGGAGGCTGAGCGGCGAGGATGACGGGTCCGAGGAAGAAGGAGCCGCTGCCAGCACCACAGAGGCTGGTGACGAAGAGGTGCGAAAGCGGATGAGGAGGACCAAGAGCAGCGAAGGCTTGCGGCGCCAATCGGGCTCGGACTGCCCCGTCTTTCGCGACTCGTCGAGCCCTCGAGCAGAGCGAGAAGCCGAGGAGGAAGAGGTCAGCGGTCTCAAGAAGAAGACACGATCAGTGTCATTCAAGCTCGTCGTGGATGACGACGATGACGACGAGATGGGAAGAAAGAACAAGGAAGAGGAAGAGGAAGAGGACAAAGAAGGGGAGGAAGAGGAGGAGGAGGAGGAGGAGGAGGCAGGAGAGGGGCAGCAGCAGCTCGATAAGGTCGCCGTGAGGTCGACAAGCACCTCGAGCGCCGACGATGCCAAGTCTGCATCTGCGCCAGCGGGAGGCGGTTTGGTGGGCGTGCTCAATGAGTTTGCGAGCCTGCTCGAGACTCGTCAGGAGACGTGTCAGGGCCTGGAGAAGCTGGCCAGAGACGCAAGGGAGCTGGCTGGAACTCGTCTCGAGCCCGTCGTACGCGTCACGGCGTCGGCGCCGCCCGAGCTGGATGTAGCCAGGGGTGCCAAGATCGGCGAGGACGGCGACGAGGACGACGACGTGGATGATGAAGAGGATGAAGAGGGTCTGCAGGAGGAATAATGAAGCCTCGTGCACCACTCATCACGCCTAGGAACTCTCCCTTCATGTACACTACACTGCTGCGACCACGATACATGCGCTATCTCTCCCTCACATTTACGAAGCATTAATTGAATTGTTTATTGCCATGCTATTGAGTGGTGTTGTTGCTACTGTCCTTGCGGCCAACCTGCGCCTGCGCAAGGAGCTCGTCGAGTGTGGCTCCCCGTGCGCCATCTTCGTTGCCAAAGCGGACCTCGTGGGCTATTCTCTTTGCCCTTGCCTGGGCCACCTGGTCGAGGATGCTCGTCTGATCCTCTATCGGCTTTCCCTTTGCTGTGGACGAAGCTTCCTTGCCTGTCCCGTCGTCCACTGGCCCCTTCTGCCCCTCGCTGCCCTTGTTTCCTTCATCGTCGGTACCCTCCAGGATCCTCTCGAGTCGCAGGCCCTCCTGGCCCTGAATCCAGCCCGATTTGAGCGCGAGTCTCAGCAGCACCGAGACGGCGTGCTGCAGCCGCTGATTGTCCTCACGGACCCGCCGGGCCTCTCGCTGAAGGAGCGTCTGGTGCCTCTCGTCCACGTCGCCACCTGCTCCTTTGCTTGTCCCATCCTTTCCTTCATCATCGCCATCGTCGCCGTTGCTGTCGCTGTCCACGTCGCCTTCCTGCGCTTTCAGCACCTCTGCGCGCCGCTTGAGCTCCTCGAACTCGACGCCAGCGGGCCCAACCTTTTCGGAGAGGGCGCGGACGAGCAGGGTGAGCTCGTGGAGGCCCTCCTCGGTGCGGTCTCGCTGCTTGGCGCGGCTGCGGCTGCCCCTGTACGACTCGCCAAGAATCAATGCGGCGGCAAGGACAAAGAGGAAGCCCTCGGCGAGGGCGTTGGCGCCGTTGGCTACGGCTTTTGCCTCGTTGAGCGGTCGGATCTTGGGCCGGCTGCTCGTGGTTGCCTTCTCGCCGTCGCCACTCCCTCCTCCTCCTCCTCCTCCTCCCCCTCCTCCACTACCGCCGCTGTTGCTGCTCCCGTCTTTTTTGTCTTTTTTGTCACTGTGCGACGACGACGACGACGACGAAGACGAAGCGGGAGGCGCCAAGAGGTTCGTCCGCAGGATCATCTCTGTCCGGTGCATGAACTGCGCCAGGCTGATGCAGATGGCCCGGAAGCGCTGGTGTTCCGCGGCCTGATGCTTGATCTGCGTCGCAATGGGCTTGGCCAGCGTCCGGATCGCCAGCGTCGCAATCTTTGCCGTCGCCATGGCGTCCGATCTCAGCGCTCTCTATCTCACACCTCTCTGACTTCTCCCGACGGAGCTGAGCAACGGGGGAAGCAGGAAGCCGTGCAATACGCACGGACGCCTGTGCCTCTCCATGATCGGCCTTCACGTGGGTCCTGCTAGCGAGAAGAATTAAGACTCAATTCGGCCCACCTTCCACGTCCCCGCGCTTTCCCCCCGCTGCTTCTAAGATAGATCGTCACCACACACTCCGACACACACACACAAGCAAACCAACGAGACAATTCGAACAATGAAGCTCAGCAGCAGCCTTCGTATGGCCACTGCCGTCACGGCCGCCTTTGCGGGCCTGTCGCTCGCAAAGGAGGAGCCGACGTCGCTGCAGGTGGGCGTGAAGCGCTCGGTGCCGGCGCACGAGTGCCCCATCAAGTCGCAGGGCGGCGACAAGCTCAGCATGCACTACACCGGCACCCTCTGGGACGGCAAGAAGTTTGACTCGTCCCTCGACCGGGGGCAGCCGTTTGAGTTTACCATTGGCGTCGGACAGGTCATCAAGGTGCGTGTCGTCTATGCGACCGATCCGCAGTGCCAAGCGCCCGCTGGGCGCAAGAATCCTCGATAAAGCTGACACAAATACTGACAATACTCGATAAAACAGGGCTGGGACCAGGGCCTGCTCGACATGTGCGTGGGCGAGAAGCGGAAGCTGCAGATTCCCTCGGAGCTGGGCTACGGAAAGCGGGGCGCAGGCGGCGCCATTCCTCCCGATGCGACGCTCGTCTTTGAAGGTGAGTCTAGCTGGAGCCGCTTTTGAGTTGTGTCATGGGAAGAGAGAGGCTGAGTTCTCGTCTGGTCCCTTCTTCCAGTCGAGCTGCTCGACATTGACGGACCTCGCGCCAGTGCACTCAAGAAGAGACATGAGGAGCTGTAGGGGACGGACAATGGCGAGGAGGAGAGAAAATGGCATTCAATTACTTGACGAGTGCGCCATCCAATTGCATCTGGAGTTCCTCTACAAGCTGAGGCCTGGTCTCTTCGTTTAGTCTATACCTCTCCATAAGTGCCGTACTGGACTTGTTGCCACCGCAGACGACGACGACAATGACCAGCGGCTCATCGCGCTGCTCCATTTTACCGATGAGGTGGGGGTTGAGGACCTTGTCAGGAAAGTAGAGGGGCGCAATGGCCACGGCGCAGGCCAGCTCGACGATTTGTCGGTGGTCTCGCGCAAAGCCTGTCAGTTGAGGGCGTAAGAAGGAGGGCCCTTAGATCAGTACATTGTCTTCTGTTGTTGTAAGCTCCCCGTTCGAGAGGAGTGACTCACGCCAAGCGGCCGCACGGGCCAGATCATCGGGCATGACGACGGTGGAGAAGCGGCTGTTTGAGGCGGCGCGATAGTCGAGCGCATCCTTGACTGCATCTCTGGAGCACGTCTTTGCGCCCAAGCTCGTTGCCTTGGACGTGATCGAGTCCAGCGCGACGAGCTGCGGTGCTCCCTTGTCCACCGACGCGCTCATGGACTGGGAGAAGGCGTCCGCGCCATGGCACTGCGTCGTCACGATGAGCGGAGCAGGCTGCGACTCAGTCCTCGCTCTCTCGATCCCACGCAGCAGACCTCTCAGGAGACCACCGCCGCCCACGGAGCAAATGACGGCATCGGGCCCTCGCTCGACGCCGGCCTCGTCCCGAAGCTGCTGGTAGATCTCCTGCCCGAGGCTGCTGTGGCCCTCGATGACGTCGTCCCCCTCGAAGGGATGGACGTAGCATGACTCGATGCCCTTTGCTGCCTGAGCTTCTGCGAGCGCCTTTGCAGCCACGTCGCAGTCATCCCACGCATCGCCTACGACGGTGACGTTGGCCCCCTCGGCCCTCATCAGCGCCTTGACCTCTTCCTCGGCCGACGAGGGCACAAGGACATCGCACCCAAGACCCAGTGCATTGGCCGCATGCGAAGCCGCGAGGCCTGCATTGCCGCCCGACGAAGAAATAACGTGCAGGCCAGGGCTGCTCCGGGCACGCTTCGAAATCGTGTTGCCCAGCCCTCTGATCTTGAAGCTGCCCGACGGCTGGAGATTGTCGAGCTTCAGGTACACCGAGATGCTCCTCCCACCCAGTGAGCTGCTCCGCTTCGACAGCGGCGCAGAGTACAGCAGCGGCGTCTTGATGTGCACCTTGGCATCGCCACGGCCATGGTCCCCCCCGTTCATGGCAGGTCGAGTCAGTGTAGCCAAACTTATAAATAGCCATGCAATTCAGAGTGCCTTCCTTCTTGGGGGGGGGGGAAATTGGGCTTGGCGTTACGAAAACTCACGTGGCTTGCGCGCGCGCGCCCGCCGACTCAGCTGTGCAGCAGTGCAGTGCAAGGCGCGGCCCGACGGGGGACGAGGGAATCGTGGAGCCCTGGGGCTCGTTATCTCATCTCATCACTACTCTCTCTTCTTCAGCAACTTCAAACATTGTCCCCTCCACCCATGTCGAGGTCGACTAGAGCATCGGCTTCCGACTCGGTGCCCTTCTTGGGCGCGGGAAGAGGTGGCAGTGGTGGCGGCGGCGGCGGCCACAGCCAGTCGGCGGGCCGAAATCGCCAGGCAGAGATGGCCGCCGCATTTGGCGGTCAGGACGACGATGACGATGAAGGTCACGGCAATGACGGGCTGTCAAGCTCCTTGTCCGTGGCCGGCAATGGTTTGCCTCCTTCCTATGGATATTCTTCCCCTCCATCATCGTCGGCTGGCAACGGAGCGAGTGGCAATGTTGAGGGCAACGACGACGTCTTCTTTGACGCTGGCGACGCACTGGCCTCCGCTTCGGATCCATTAGGGGCTGCCGCGATGGACAACTCCTCCCGCCCTGCGCCTACCACTACCTACAGCCAGCAAGCTAGAGATCGCCAGGGAGCTGGAAACACAGAAAGGGCTGCAGTGGCGAGCAGCGGGTACGACTTCGAACAGGCATCCTACTTCACGCCACCTCCCCCCGCCAGCAGAAGGACGCCCTCGGCGCTGTCAAGGTCCAACTCGGAAACCCAGATGAGGCCAGGCGATGTGTCGATTTCCATGTCGGAAGCTGATGGAGAAACATCAATGAGCGGCGGGCCCCTTGGCGGCTCGTCTTCTGGCAACATGGCCGGACTCGATGCCACTGGCCTGTCGAGGGCACGGATGTTGCTGGGCAGATTCGGTCGCTTTGTGGGGATGCGGGTGCCTGGAGCGACGTATGCGAGCTTGAGCACACAGGATGATGCGGCGCAAGCGACTCGACGACGAATCATGGGATCTGGTATCAGCCAGGATGGTGTCTTTGCCAATCTCAATGCCAAGCCCGAGAGGCGGCGACGCAGAGCCGACGGAGAAGATCGAGGCGACGACGACGACCTCGTCGAAGACACTCTTCCGCCGACCTACGAGACGGCTGCGGCCGACACGGCGCCGCCGTACTGGGAGACTACCATCATTGGAGGCCCTGGTGGCCTCCACCCACTGGCACCCGGCGGCATGGGATGGACACCCGGTGGCACCCACGTCGGCGCCATCGAAGATCTCATCGTGGATGGCCTGCCCGTCGGAAACTTCTTTGGCTTCGCCTGGAACCTCCTCGTCTCAATGAGCTTCCAATTTGTTGGCTTTCTCCTCACCTACCTCCTCCACACCACCCACGCTGCTCGTTGCGGCTCGAGAGCCGGCCTGGGAATCACGCTGGTCCAGTATGGCTTCTACCTTCGCACGCGAGCGATACAAATCGTCGATGGAAAGCTGCCCGATGATGGACTGTCGGGCTTGCCTGGCGACAGCGGGTCTCAAGGCGGCCAGCAGGGCGGTCCGTGGTGGATGTATCCGAACCAGCCCGCTGATGACTCCGACTCTCACAACGAGGCAGCCAGGAGCTTCATCTCTCGCAGCCTCTCCTTTGTCGCTCGACAAGTGACGGAAGCAACAGCATCGGCCAGTGTCGGCGGAAATGCGACGATGGCTGAAGCCCTTGCAAACGACACGAATCCCCCCGTCACGAATGCCCAGGACCTTGGCGCCAGCACCGAGTGGCTTGCCTACATTCTCATGGCCCTTGGATGGTTTATCCTCTTCAGCAGCCTTCTCTCCTACTGGCGCGTTCATCGATGGGGCAAGCAGCTCGTCGATGCAGCGAGGCGCGATGCAGAGTCGTCAAACAACGCAAATAACGACGAAGCAGGCGCCGAGACGTCCACGTCCGGAGGTGCCTCTGGTTCTGCGACTGCGCCACGCGATCCCAACGCGCCAATCGGCTTCATTCACACGCTCCGAGCTGCCTTTGAAAGGAGCCGGACTTCCACGTCGTCAGCCACGGGTGGAACGGGCGCGAGCGGTGCAAGCGTCGGCAGCCGAGGGCATAGCGCCGAGGACTGGGTCATCTTTCCCGGTATGACGGCAGCCGGCTCGGCCTCTCGCAGCCGGCTCCTCTTTGGGGGCGTTGGTGGGCTGGGAGGTGGGCCTATGCGCGGACGGAGGAGGTCGGATCTAGAAGTTGGGGAAGCAGAGGCCAATCGAGACAGTGACGATGACGATGACAGCGACGAGGAGGGTGCGTCATCGGCCGAAGCCAGGAGACTGGTGACGGACTTGCGAAACGTCGGTCTCATTGAGTAGTGTTTTCTCTCCCTCCTGTTTGTGCTCTTGGCTCTCTTGTTCCTCTTACTGTATCTTTCTACATGATCATTCCTGGCACTACAAACAATAAATGGTTGCTCTCTCCATGCTGATGGTGAATATTTTGTGATTGACATCTGGCAGAGATAATTGGCCATCACTTGCGGTAGAATTGTCGCTGGAAGTTGACTGATTGTGAGGAGAAACAATTGTGAGATACAGGAACAAGAAGAACAATCAAAGAGAAGGACAGACTCACAATGCAGCTGCAAGACGCCCCTCTCGAAGCTTGCCCGGAAGCCGCGTCGGTGCGACATGTTCCATGGCTTCTTGACGATGCGGAAGCCGATCGTTTCGTACGGAGGGCCAGCTTCAAAGACAATGAGCGACGTTTCATCGTTTCCGCGCTCGTTGATGATGCGATATGTGGGCGGCTTCGACTTGTCGATGAGATCAGGGTAAAAGATGTCTGAGAGGAGAAAGCCAAGGGTCAGCACGGAAAGTAAAGGTTATCTAAACGAGGAGGATCTCACTAAATTTGTAGCCCTGGACGACCTTGGGAGGTGGGTTGTCGGTGTCGTAGTGCGTCTGGTTGTACTTATTCCACTCATAGCCAGTGTGGACCCTGTTAAAGTATCTTGGCTTTCTCGGTCTGAACTTGTCTTCCCAGTCGTACGTCTCTCTCCGGCCGAGATCTTCTGCGACATTGAACACGTCCTCGTCCTCGTCGAGGTCTTTGCCCGCTTCTGTCTCGAACATGCCGAGGCCATCGGGCTCGCCGCTTCCTTCGACCTCAATGGTGCTGCTGGCGGCTGCTTCGAGCCTCTTTCTGCGTTCCTGCTCTCGCTGTGCCTTCTCCTCTTCGGCAGATGGGAGGCCCAGAGCCTCTCGGCGGGCGGCATCCTCCTTCTGTCTCCGTTTGAGGTACTCGAGCCGGTTGCTAATGACTACCTCGTGCATGTCGCGCAGCTTCGCCTTGGCGCGCCACACGAGGATGCTCTTCAGCAGCGCTTCCCAGTACTCGACATCGACAGGCTCGCCGCTCTGAAGCTTGCCGCGGACTTGGCCTTGGAGCTTGACAAGCTCGTCGTAGCTCTTTGTAGAAAGCATCTCACTCATGTCGGCCTTGACGCTGGGTTCCAAGCGGGAACGGATTCCTGGCGCTGTCGAGGCCTGCCCAGCTTCTTCGCGAAGCTCCGATAGTCTTTCTTCGCAGACGACAACCATCGCCCGCCAGAAATCGAGGTTTTGCTCGTCCTTCTCCAGCGACAGGTACATCTGGATGTCATTTTCCAGCTCTTCGGTGTCTTCCAAGCCGAGACTCTGGAAAAGGGAGAGAAGTCAGGGACCAGGAGAGGTAAGCAGAGCTTGAGGACAAGTGAACTCACTTCGAAGATCAAGTACGGCTCCTCGAGATCGATTTCGAGGCTCGCGTCGTTCTCTTCGTCGTCTTCATCAGCTGGATGGACGACTTCTTTCTCCTCGCCATCTTCTTGTGTCACTTTGGCTCGACGTCTGCCTCGATGAGGATCGACCCATTTGAGATTGATGGCGAGAATGTCGATCGGCTTGGCCCGCTGCTCACGAACGCGGATGACTGCCCTTCGTCTAGACTGTTCGAGGTAGAAGTCGTCCTCCTTTGCCACCCATTCGCTCATAGCGGCGCTCTCTGCCATCCTGGCTTTCCTTCCCTCTTCCTCCTCCTTGATGGCTTGCTCCTTTTCCCTCTCCACTCTCTTTTGGATCAATCTTTTGATCTCTTCTTCTGCCTCTCTCCTCCGATCCTCGTCCCTCCGTCTTGCCTCCCCTGGTGTCAAGCCCATCTTGCGCTCCCTCTCCTCCTTCTTGCCCCATCGGAATTTTTGGGAGATGTTGTCGTCGTTAAACGGATTGGCATCGGCGGCATAGTAGAGCGTCTCGGCCGCTTTTGCTCGCTTCTCGGCTTCATCTTCAGCGTTTCGATGGCTCTTTTTAGAGCTTTTCTTTGCCTCTTTGCGGATCGCTCTTTCCTCTGAAGTCTCTCTTCTGTTGTGACTGGTGCTCAGCTTCACTTCCTAAAGCTAGCGAAGAAAGTGCTCTACAACCTACCTTTTTTCCTTCTTCCTCCGATGCCTCCGCTCGCGGTCGTCCTCCGAGTCGCTGGCATCGCGAGACTCTCTGCGTCTCCTTCTCCGCCTCTCTTCCTCCTCATCCTCACTGTCGTAGCTCCTCCGCTTACTCGTCCTCCTGTCCTCTTCGTCGTAACGATGCGATCTTCTACCATCCCTGTCCCTCTCTCTTTCTCTGTCCTTGTCCCTGTCTCCGCTCCGATACTCGCGGTCATGGCGAGACGAGCTGCCTCTCTCCATCCGAACTGGCGATTCTGAACGAGGCATGTCTACCTACTCCTCTCGTCGGTCGCGAGCAAAGGAGCCCCATTGCGATCCAAAAAATTCCACAAAAATAAAGCCTGACGTCGCGCACGCCACGTGAAGACACACACAACGACGGACTTGTGTGTGGCCCGTCCGCTCTCGCTATCTTCTCCGACCCTCGAGCCTCTACCCTCGTCTCGGGTCGAGGACGACAGCAGCCACAGGGTATCCCGGTCGAACGACTCGTCGCTTGGACGGACTGTTAGGAGGAAAAGGCAGGCCTTCCCTCTCACCCAAGCTCTCTACCCTCTTTCTTGGACGCGCTCCAAGATAGTCGAGTAGTGGAGCGTGCGCGCGAGAGAGAGAAAGAGAGAAGAAAGGGACCATGTCGCGACCTGCATCCTCCCAACGAGGGGGAGGCGCCGCGAACCATCAATCTCGCACTGCCTCACCCGCCCTGTCGAGTGCATCCAAGGGTTCCAATGCCGCCGTGAGCGCTGCGGGCAACGCCGGTGCAGGAAACGGCGGTGCAGCCACCGCCTCCCAGAACCAGCAGCAGCAGATTAATGCCTCGCTCAAGTCGCTCCTTGGGCAGCCCGTTGCATTGACGCTCTCGCCTATTCCACCTGCGACGGAGCCTTCGACGGAGCAAGGCCTTCTCTGGGCGCACGACGTGCAGATGGGCCTCGCCGTCCTCGAAGTCCCGCGCGGCTTTCCAGCATCATCCAGCAAGGGCCCCAGCTCGACCGTCGCTCTGCCTTACCCCACCAACGCCGCCGCGTACCCCACCCCGCAGCTTTCGTCGCTCAAGGTGGCCGCACAGGGCGGCGACTCGGGAAGCAGCCGGACCAGCTTCAACCTCGTCAAGCTGCGCCGCATCACGTCCGTCAAGCCACTCCAGGACGCCTCGGCGTCGAAGCTCTCGCTGACCCCGTGCAGAGAGGTCAACGTCCAGGCTGCCGAGGCGCGGGAGAGGGCAGCGACGGGTGAAGCACTAAAGCGGGCGGCCAAGATCGGTGTGGGCGTCAGCAAGCTGGGCCAGGACGTCTTTGATGCACTAAGCAAGACGTGAGTTCATTTCTCTGCCCTTCCCTCTCAAGTTCTTGTTTGCTGATTGGTCGTCACTTTAGTCTACCTTGTAGATGGGCGGATCAGCATATCATTGTCATGGACGAGATGGTGGTTGTGGGTGTTTTCTTCCCCCCTTGTTGCAAGACTTTCGTCTGACTGACCCTTGACGTTACAGTCACCCGCCGAGTACGACAAGGCGCACATCCCCAACATGTCCCAGGAAATGCTGCAGGCGCTAGCCGATGGGAAAGACGCACCGGGCGCGCCTCCCGACGGCAAGCAAAAGGCGACGAGATGGCAGCGGGTCTCCAAGGTTCTCGAGGGAGAACGACGGAAAATCCTCAGTCGTCAGCAACAGTAGCAGACGACAAAGAGGGGTGAAATCAAAAGAAACCTTTACAGTCACTGAGAGAGAGAGAGAACAGCTGCCCTGTTCTGATCCATGTGTGCATACCGGTCGCATTGACAATGTGAAGGGGAAGGGAAGAAACGGTAAGGAGGACAGTAAGAAGCAGTACAGAGATGATCAGTAGTACTCTTCTTCGCTGTCGTCTTCTTCGGCATCGGCACCAAACGGCCTGAATTCTGCGCTATCCTGCGCCCTCCTCAGTCTCCTCGAGACCTCTGCCTCGTCATCGCCGCTGGCGTAGCCCTGGCCGCCAAACAGGCTCAGCGCGACAGGCAGCAGGACCAAGCCGTGCAGAGCACCAGTGATGATGAGGACGAACCACAAGGAGGCGTAGTAGAGTTTGAGGATGTCCGAGTGTGCCCAAAAGAGGACAGAGATGCCAACGAGCTTGGTTCCAGTGATGCCACTAATTACCGACGGTCCCACATCCACCAGCGCCGCCCAGGCTCGCTCATCGCGCTCCTTTTGAGCCCACGATACGGAAGACGAGGGATTGTGGAGGGTGGAGAAGCCTGCCGCTCCGCCGCCGCCACTCGCCGAGGAGGAGGCGCGCATAAAGGCCCTGGCGACGTGGGCGCAGAACTCGACGCAGATGGCCGAGCAGACAGCCAAATTGACGAGCGTCAGCGCGTTGAGGCCGATGCCGAGATAGGCCATGCTGGCGGCCACGCACAGGACTGCATTCGAGACACAGGCAGCCACGATGAGGGCCGTCCAGAGCGAGCCGAGGAGCAGCGTCGTGACGGCAATAATGGCGACCAACGAGCCCCCGAGGAGTTGCAAGGCCAAGCGGTCGAGGTACAGGTACTGGTCGAAGAAAGGCGAAAAGACAGAGTAAGCAAAGACGTCAATCTTGCCGTTCTCGGACGAGGAAGCAGCAGCGATGATGTCCTTTGACATTCGCTCCGTCGAAGCGAGCGCATCGATGAAGTCAGCCTGAGATCGCAATGGCGTGTGGAAGGTCCTGAAATGCGAGCTGATAACCTTCTCATCCTGTATGCTAAGGGCAGCAGAGTAGGCCGCCTGACCGCCGAGCGGGCAGTCTTGGTCGGTCGGGCTCTTGAGCCACTGCTCGAGGTACCTCATGAATTCTTGTCCTTCTGGCATGCCTTGCAACGTGATGTTCCAGCCTGGATCGCGGCCTTCGAAGCAAGGCTGACAATCTGGCTCGCCGTCGGACGGTCCGCAGAACTTTCTAGGGTCAGATTTCCTCACCCGGCAGCACATTTCCAGGGCAGGATTGAGCCACTGGAGCATGTCATCGAGCCAGGAGCTGGCCGGCTCGGCGAGGAAGCTGACCTCTGGTCGCCTCCTCTCTCCCTCGAGCGTGTTGGCAAGCGAGAGCGGCTCGCACGTTGTGAAACGGCCGCAGATCGACTGTTGAGCCTCTCTCGTCGCAGGGTCGGCTCCACGGACGACGAAGTAAACAGGGGGCCCCACGTCGAGATAAGCGTCGATGCCGTCAAAGTAGTCGCGCAAGTACGAGCCTTCAGGCAGGGCCAGCCTTTGGTCCAAGCCCATCTCGACATGCCGAACTGAGACCAAGCTCACAGCGAAAAGCGCCGCAAAGACGACGAGAACCAACTTCTTCACCGAGGGCTTGATGAGCCAGGGAGCATAGTGTCTTCGTACGAAACGTCCTAGGAAGCCTTCGCTGGCGAGGCCCTGGAGCGTGCCGGGACCGACATTGGCGTAGTCGATCGATGATCCCCCTGTAGTGCCATCGCCAGACGTGCCGGATCGGGAGCGACCCGGTATCTTCAGGCAAGGCAAGCAGTCGATCCTCTCCGCTTCCGTACGATCGGCATCGAGGGCCATGGCAGCGACAAAGACGGTGCACTGGAGAGCCGCGACGAATGCCATGCTTGCCGCTGCGTAAAGGGCGAAATGGCGGACAGCTGGCATGGGAATAGTGGCTCCAAGGAGAAAGGCTGCCACTTGGACAGAGGCACTGAGCAGGATGCTCGGCCCTACTTTGGACAGTGTCCTTGCCGCTCGTTCTGTGGCGTCGACGTGGTAAGCCTGGCCGAATGCGATGCTTGCTCTTCGGGTACCGGCTTCGTGACCATCCTCGATGCTCTCTTCGTCGGTGCGGCTATCGTCGGTAGCAGCAAATCCAGCCGCGGCCAGTGCCGAAGTGCTCCTCGAGTAGCTTGTGCTGGTTGCATACGGATTGGCCGTGCTCGCCAGAGCATTCTGCCGGTCCATCTCGTTTGCAAGCAAGAAGACGTTGTCCACACCGACGGCAAGGAGGAGGAAGGGAAGGACCTCGACAATGACGAGCGTCACCTTGACACCGACGGCAGAAAAGAGGCCAACAGCAGACGAAACTGCAGCGATGACGACGACGATGCCAAAGAGACCCAGCGCGAACTTGGAATTGACAAATAGTCGACGAGACCACGAGTGTGGGTGCGCACCCATGGAACCCTGAGATCGAGAGGGGAGAAATGAGAGTATTCGACCAGCGAGACCGGATCGATGGTGATTACCCGATGGCCGACGTGAGGTGGAGAGGCCATTGCTTCGCGAGCTTGCAGATGAGCTGGAGCTGCCCCCTCCCAAGGTGAGGGAAGCGTAGAGGAACATGAAGACGTAAGACAGAACGACGATGACGACGTCGGTGCTGCCGGCCCTGGCGAGTTCCTGCTGCAAGCTGCTCTCGGTGCTTAGCCACATCTCTAGACCCAGTTCTCTCCGTCTGATCCCGAGCGGATGTTCCCCTCCTTCTTCCTCATCGATGCCCGCAATGGAAAAGAGCAACTTTTCCAGTGCAATCTCCCAGTCTTGTGCTCGAGCCACCTCTGTCTCGTTGAGGCTGTTGGTGACAACCCACGTTGTAACAAGCGAGCGTGCGTCGCTGGCTTTGCCTTCCGCAGAGGTGTCGCCGGCGTCACCAGACACGATTGTCTCGGGTACACCTCCGAGAATGATGTTGCGTTTCAGGGGCTGACCAAAAGCGGGCAGACACTCTGCCGGGCTCGAAGCGCAACGGTCCAGAGCATCCTTCCAGTTTCCCTCGTTGAGACCCTGGAGACTGTCACCGAAATACCCCATGATGCTCTGTACGACGCAGGGTCCATTTGGACCGGCGGGAGCAAAGCAGACGTCGTCCAGGGTGAAGCCTTTGGGCGACTTGAGTGCGCGAATTTCGGCCTCGACGTCGGCCCACCACTGAAGTCTTTCCCAGTTGAGCACCGGGCTTGCTTCGTCGACGAGACGTTGCTGCCATTCGTCGCCTGCGGTTGGCTTCATCGTCTTGGCCAATGCGGCGGCCGTCTTGTCCATTACAAAGATCTGCTGTGTTCGGTAGAAGGGACCAAAGTGCTCGTCAAAGTACATCTTACGATGCCTTGCCTCTGATCCAGGGCTGACCCAGAGCTCCACTGGATCCGTCTCGACATCGAAACGGCGCCAACCGAGATTGGCGAGAGCGACGAAGAGTGCAGCTAGGCCGAATGTGACGTAGGGGTATCTCGCACAGCGCAGTCCCAACCTGTAAAAGAAGGAACTCAACCAGACGTTTAGCTTGTAGGATCGAGGCTGCGTGGTTGATAGGGCCCCTCTCGAGGTAGAGGACGATCCAAGGCCGATCCCAGCTAGGAGTGCGCTTCCACGTGCTGCCAGCCGTTGGCCGTGAGACCCTAGCGACTCATCGTCGACGTCGTCGCCACTATACTCGTCCCTTGCCCTGGCCCCCACCAGACTCTGATGCGTTCCATCGGCGGTGTTGGCTCCGGACATGCCTGAATGGCGATCGTCTTGCTCCTCGCTGCTGAGCCTCACTCTTTCGTAGCCGCTTCCCTCGCTCCGCACGCTGATGCCGCTGTTACGATGCCGGATCGCCGCCCTCTTTCTCCGTCCTAAATTGTGCCGCAGGCCGATGCCATAGCCTGTCAACATAATGACAAGGCCAAGCGCATACATGACGGCGACAAAGAGACCGAAGCAGCTGATCCACCTTCCACCTCCAAAGGGCAGAGAGACGGTGCATGTCTCATGGTGCACGGGCGGGCCAACGTAGGGCAATGTCGCGCAGACTTCTGGGCAGTCCGTGCAGGCGCATCGGGAAAGCAGGTCCGGGTCGCCGCACTGACGGGGCGTCGGATTGAACGGCAGAGGCTCACTGTTCGATCTTGAAATCGACGAGGTGTTGGCGTGGGGAAAGTTGATCTGGAACGGGCTGCCAACCAAAGGCTTGACGTCTCCCATGTACTTGAGGAACGCATCTGCATCCTTTGCCCCTCCTCCTAGCAGGTCCATCGCAAAGGCGTTTCCGGGACCAAACTTCACGTTCTTGCAGTTGTCGTAGAGACCCTGTCGGAACTCCTCGCCCGCCCAGTAATTGATTGTCTTTACAGCCACGTCGCCGTCGGCACCTGGCGTGGAGCTCTTCTGCGTCTCGACGACATCGAGATACTGTGACTGGTCGCCCCCACAGGTCATGGAGCAAAACAGATTTCGAAAGTTGTTTCGACAAGCTGGACACCCAGACACCAGCGCCTCGGCCTGATCGACATTTTGACGCAGCGACTCCACCTGGTCGGCGGTGCAGCAAAGGGGCCCAGAGGAGAATGTAGGTCCACACACTGCAACCACCGACTTTCTCAGCTCGTTGTCGGGCTGGTGCGACAGTCAGTGACGTAGTGACATTTAGGGGTACCAGTTGGCTCACCTGCTCGGCGTCGACCTCTTCCAGTGCACAGGGCAGATCTGGCGAGAAGACGGAGCTCTTGCCACAGCTGCCCCGCATGTTACATCTTCCCGGTCGTCTCCCCCTGCCGGCAGAAGCCATAGCTGCCTGCTCAGCCATCGCCATCCTCGTTGTGGGTTGTCGTGGCAAGGGTCCCCACCTTGAACTGGAGGGGCAGCCACAATCTTAATCAGAGTGGCACGTGCGACGCGGTGGCTCTGGCGCGCATCTCTGAGCTGAGGTCAAGCAGGTAAGCTTCTGCGAGCCCGGGCAAGGACGCCAATTGCCTATCTCCCGCGTTGGCCATGAGTCCAGGAGTGGCTCCGTAAGCCAACGGAAAGATTGCCGGTGCGGTGCGTCACCAAGCTCGGAGGTCCGTTGAGACTGTATCGAGTCTAGAGAGTGCGTGACCAGGACGGTTATAGAATGGCATGCCAACCATTCTGACAAGCGACGGAAGTCCGGACCTGGATGTCCTCTTCGCAAACAAACCAAATCCCGAGCGAGCGTGAATTGACTGATATGTGAGAGACTGGCGGCGACGGAAACAGCAGCGGCAATGTCTCTCTGCGCTGAGGTGGAAATTATAGCCCATCGCCGCTCTTCATGCTTTGAGGCACCGCCTCTTTTTTCTTCTTCGACAAAGTCCTCCTTTCTACGTATATCCTTCCCCTTTTCGCTTCTACACGATTGCTCTCCTACACACCGCATCCGTGATCCCCTGACAAAAGACAATTGCTCCCTCCTTCTCGCCATGTCGCGTCTTCTCTCCCTTGCCTCTTTAGCCTTTCTCCTTTTGTTGCCGCTTGTCACCGCCTTCGAAGTCGTTTTCCCGGGCGGTAAGGCAGGTGGCTACTGGGTCTCAAACGCCACCAATCTCCTGCGCTGGACCAGTGAGTTTGCCTGGTCTGGCCAGGTCGTCAAAGAATTCATCATCAGCTAACTCTCTATTTCTTTTGTCTCACCTCCTTTGATTGGGCTAATGAGCAGACAATGGCTCTGGTGAGTCTTCAGACTACCGACCACGATAATATGACAGAGGAAAGCTAACAGCAACACCAAAGAGTCTCAGCTCTTCTCAGTCGAGCTTCTCAACGCCAATTCCTCGAGCCTTAACGGCAACTTCCGTGAGTCATTGCTCAGCCGACTACGGAGAGAAAGCATTTCACTAATCCTTGAGACATGCCCGGGAAGAGATCGCCAATGCCTTGCCCTCGGCGAACCAGACAGCTGTGATTGTCCTCGATATGATTCCGGCTGGCACGTACAGGCTCCCCTTCGTCAACCCGAACAACTACACGCTCAACAGTGGGTCCTTTCCCAGCTCTCTTTACCGCATTTAGAAGGGAATAGCTTACGATCAACGCCGTCTCCCACAACAAAGAGCCTGAGCTCTACTACAGTGAGCTCCTCATTACCTCTGTCTTCCTTTCTAACGACTGATTCCTCCCCACATCAAGCTTCGCCCGAATTTGAGATCAAAAAGGCCGGCACCTCGCCCTCGCCTGCCCTCAATGACTCGAGCGTCTCTGGGCCAGTCATTGCTCCAACCCCCACTACCAGCGCTCCGGCTTCTACGACGACCTCACCGTCGACGCTCGGCACCACGTTTGGCACCAACAACACGGAAAAGTCGCCCACTGCTACCACCACCACTGTTGCGCCTCTTTCAGCCTCGCCAAATAGCAACACGTCGAACTCTACGGCGTCTTCCAGCAACCGTGGAGGGCAGAAGGAGAACGCCTCCCTCAGGATGTGGGTCGATGTGCTCGCTCTGGGCACCTCGGTTGTGATCGCTGGTCTCATTTCCGTGCTCTGATGACGGTCCTTCTCCCTCTGCCCGTCATCGAGCGCACCTCAGTTTCTTCTCACCTCTCTCCCCATCTACTTTTCCCCACGACGTATTCAACAGACGTAGCAATTACAGTCTTCATCACAGCATCGCTCTCTTGACGGTCGTGACATGACATACAGCGTAAAGAAGATTAGGACACTACAAATACAGTGAAAAAAAAGAGGAAATGCGCTCCAAGATTGCTCAAGCGCCCATAGACTGCCGCTTCCTCTTCTTGATGCTCTTTTCCGCCTTTTCCTTTTCCATTCTCTCTTTGCAGTCGGGGCAGTACCACGTTTGTGGCAATGGCTTGCTGAGACCCACGCAGGAGAGATGGAACCACTCGTAGGGACATTCGTCCGAGTCGCACCCAATCATCTCGCCAAACGAGACGCGCTGGCAGTGGCAGTACAGCGTCTCGTCCTTTTCCTCGCCACCCTCTTCGCCCTCGGCATCGGGTCGGTCGCTGCTGGGGCCCATGGCGCCGTGCGGGCCGCCCGAAGAGGCAGCCAGTGCCATCGAGCCGCTGCCTAGGGGGCTCGATGAGGAGGCAGCAAGATTAGAAAGGCCCGACTGCCTCGGTCGACCGACTTGCTTCTTCAGCGACGTCGACCCTGTGGCGCCAGCACCGAGAGGAGAGGCTGCTGCCATAGGTGTCGAGCGGTCCGCCGAAGGAGGTCGGGTGGAACGAGGCGCCGACTCGCCGCGAATCCCACCGGTCGGCGTCAGTGCGCCCGGTGGCGCCTTGCGCTTTGTACCAATTGTGGGTGTCATCTCGCCACCAGGGCTCTTGAGACCTGCCAGCGCAGCCGGAAGCGACGCCAGCGAAGGCAGACTGAGCGCTGCAGCTGATCCGGTCCCATTCGCTAGGCCAGTGAATTGCTCTGCCTCTTGGATCAGATGCGGTGCGATCCTCGCCACCTCGTTGCTCAGCCTCTTGTGGTGCGCGCAGACGGACCGCCACAGCCCCTTTGCCAATGCCTCTTTCTGGCCATTCCACTCGTCTGCCCGCTGGTAATCATGCTTGATCTTCTCAACGAGCTTGTCCGCCTTTTGGCGGTCGGCATCCGTCATGACAAGGGTTGCGCCACTCCCATTGGAGGTTGCTGTGCCGTTGCTTCCATTCTCCGCCGTAGTGCCCCTCGCGAGAAGATCTCTCAGCTGCGCTTCCCTCGCAGCAATCTTCGGCAGCATGTCTGATCAAAATAAGTCCGAAAGTGAGCCGAGCAGGCGCTTCCTTTAATAAACTTGCATCAGCCGTCTGAACTCACCTTGAACCTTTTGATCCTTGTGCTCGATCTCCTTGATGATGTGATTCACCTCCAACGGCAGGTTGTCGAGGGTCGAGACAAACTCGCTCGCCATCTGGGCGATCTCGCCCGGGTCTTCAATCATGTTGGCTGATGTCCTTGTCCGCTCAGATTCTCCGGGTGTTCATCGCCCTCCGACGTTCATCGACTAACGGGGGATGGAGACGAAACCTGGAATTGCAGTTGTTACAGTACAAATCTGAGAATAATTATATAGACCACGTGGCTAACTGATGGGCCTGTACTCCGAGAACACTGTGTAAAATCGACGTTTCCAATGACCTTTTTTTCGACGGTGTCTTTCTACCGTTATCTTCTCTCCTCCCTTCCTTTCTTCAGAGCTTGTCGATGCATTGTCAGTATTATCGAGGATATAAGTATGGTACAATTAGGACAACGTGATTAGTACAAATGGCGCCGTGCCAAGAAGAGGGCGGCCACGCCGGCAAAGCCGACTGACCAGCCGAGGCCGCCGAGGATTCGGGCCTGGCGTCGCTCCCTTTCTCGTGCCTTGTGGTAGCCTTCGTTGGAAAAGGTGACCATTGTGTATAGACTGGCCCACCAGGCCGAGGGAAGCACCTTCATGAGCATGTTGTCGACGCGCTTCCGGACGAGGTACGGGGTGGAAACGACTCGGCTGCACATTTCGCGGTAGTTGTCCAAGGCAAGCTCCGAGATGGCCACCAAGTCGTTGTGTCTGCTCGAAGTGTATGCGTCAAAGGCTTGGTGAAGTGCCACCGCCCTCTGCTTAGCCTTCGCTTTCGTAGAAGCCGACGCCGCAGTCGCTTTGGCATTTTGACCAGTCACATGAACGCCGCTGTCGACACGACTGTGAGGACCAAAAGAGATGTCGGTACCAGTGGATAGATCGACACTCGCTGTTGGACCTGCGTGCTTGTCGATGAGGTCGAGCATTACTCTGACGTCCTCGAGGCCGCAATTGAGGCCTTGCCCGTAGAAGGGCACCATCGCATGCGAAGCATCGCCCAGGAGAATCGCCCGGGACTTGTAGTGGTAAGGCCGACATCGGATCGTGGCCAGTGGGCTCGGTCTTCGCTGGCTGATGTCCCTGATCAGAGCCTCTCTACCGAGCAAATCGACGGCATCGGCAAAGTGCTCATCAAAGAAGTCCGAGATGCCCTTGGCAGAGGAGAGGTTCTCGTCAAACACCTTTGAGGGTGCAAAGAGCGTCGAAGTGAAAGACTTGTCCTGGTTGGCCAGAGCGATGAGCATAAAGTCGTGACGAGGCCAGATATGAAGGTGGTTGGGATCCAGTGCAAAGTCGCCGTTGGGGTCCGCAGGGATGTGCAGCTCTACGTAGCTATTGTCGATGTACGACTGCGAAAAGTCCATGCGGACCGCTTTGGCCATCTCTGAGCGAACGATGGAATGCATGCCGTCACATCCAAAAACAACGTCGGCGGTGTAGATGCCCTCCCGTTCATCCTTGCCGCTCACAGCAAACTGCAGCTGCACCTCGTCCTCATCCTCGTCTTCGTCTTCTCGGCGGCGAGAGCGTGCATGGAAGTTGATGTGCTTGAGCTTGTGTCGGTAATGGACGTTGATCCGCGGATTCGCCTCGGCGTGCTCGACGACGAGTGCATTGAGGAGGGTCCTCGAAACGGAGTTGATAGACTGTAGAGCAGAGGTATCAGCTTTGCCTGCAGAGCGGTGGCGCTTAACTCCGGGCTCACCTCGCCGTGGATGCCGTACAGCTGGCTCATCTGCTCGCCGGCCTTTGTATGGATCATACGAGCATGCATAGGTACTGCGCTGCTCAAGACCGTCTCCGCCAGCGCCTCATCGACGGCCGCGAGCCCAGCAAGGCCGCGTGTAGAGATGGCGAGGTTGATGCTGCGCTGCCTCGACGGATCCTTTTGCGCCTCGTGCGCATCCGCGACAATGCGGTCCCGCAAGTCGAAGAGATCCACCTCGTAGCCCCTCTGAGCCAGGCCCAGTGCCGTGAGGCATCCTACCGGCCCGGCTCCGACGACGGCTGCTCTTCCTGCAGTAGTCATTGGTTGTGACTCAACGGAGATGGACGCCTCCACCGGGGATGACCAATGCAGAGGGAAGAAATCTGTTGACTCGTGACTTCTTTCTCTTCCAGATCGTGCTTGTTATTCGTGCTCTTACGACCAAATACAAATTCTCTTTTTATTATATGCTACGCCACGTGGCTTCAACAGCAGTAGCGGTTCTATTAAGCTTCCGTTCACGAACCTCACCTCCAGGCTGGCAAGGGCGGCGAGTACTACCAACAGCCAGCAAGGATGAAGACGGGGACAGCAGGAGCATCTTTGTTGCGACGGATGCGATCATCGTCGCCGTCATGCCTTCTCATCATGCTTCTCGTCTCGATCGTGGCGCTGATGTCGGCGCGGCCGGCCTCGGGACACATGGTCGAGCTGCTGCCGAGCAAGAAGGAGTGCTTCTTCGAGGACCTCAACCCCGGGGACCAGGTCAGTATTTCTGAGTCTGCGCTGCTACGAAAGAAAGAAAAGAGAGAGAGAGAGCTGATACAGCTGCCCTGACAGATGACGCTGACCTACCAAGTCGGAGGTGGGGGCCATCTCGACATCGATGCCTACCTGACGGACCCCAACCAAGCCAAGCTCTTTGAGCTCGTCCGAAAGGACACGGGCACCTACAGCTTCACTGCCCAGCACGCGGGCCGCTACACGTACTGCTTCAGCAACGAATTCAGCACCGTGTCGGACAAGACGGTCAGCTTCAACGTCCACGGCATCATCTACGTCGCAGACGACGGCGAGATGCTGCCCATCGAGCGCGAGATCAGGGACCTGGCCGCGGCATTGCAGGCCGTCAAGGATGAGCAAGAGTACCTCGTCATCAGGGAGCGGGTGCACCGAAATAGTGGGTGTCTCTTTCTCTCTTTGGAAGCTTGTTGAGAGAGTATCTGCTGACGATTCAATTCGACAGCGGCCGAATCGACAAATACCAGGGTCAAGTGGTGGTCCATCATCCAGGCCTTCATGCTTGTCGGGGCCTGCGCCTTCCAAGTGTACTTTGTCAAGCGGTGAGTCACGTTTATGCGCTCCTGCTTCCCTTCTCGTTGCTGACCCTCGCATCCTTTGCCCTTTTCCCTAGCCAATTCGAGGTCAAGTCGTCAGCGTTTTAACATCTGTATTTCACTCTCCAACCTGCTCGAGAAGAATAAGACCTTCCAAAAAGAAGACAGACAAGACGTAGTCTGCCTTTCTCGCCATGTACTGGACTGAACAAAGGCAATTGGGCCACCGAGGGCGTCCCAGATGCGGGGGACAAGGGGAAGAAAATACAGAGAAAAGCAGGAAAGCCTATATGCACAGGGGGAAGATGGGGAAGGGGGAGGGGAGGGGGCGCAATTACACTGGAGAGGGAGAACAAGGTCCGGTCGGTCAAGCAACGAGGAAGTTGGATTCGCCTCTCATGGAAGGCAGGTCATCTGCATCGAGGCCATACGCCTCGATGGCGTCGCCCTGCAGCAGGCCCTCGTCCATGCCCTCCTCGCCGTCTTCCAGGACGGCCCAATTGGGACTCGGGCCGTTGTTCTTTGTTGTTGTCGCTGCCGACAGCGACGAGCTAGAGGACGACGAGGAGATGGTGCGGATGGTGGCGCCTGCGCCAGAGATGCTCGGTCTTGCGAATGCCGAAGCCGACGAAGACTGTAGTGAGGGCTGGAGCGCCAGTGAGGGGCCTCGCTTCTTGAATCTCTTTGCCGTGCTGGTCCCCTCGTCGATGGTCGTCTTTGGTCTTCGGGACGGCGAAAGCTGGGGAAAGGCGTGGACGACCGTTGTTGCGTTTGTGTCGATGCTTGAGACACTGTTGTGCGATGTATTTCTGGGGACCTGCGCCTGGCCCAGACCACCACCCATGATCGACGACGACGGTCTCGGGCGGAAGCTCGCAGGTGCCTTGAAGCCCACGCTGCTGTTGCTGTTACCATTTGCCTGCCTGTTGGCGGGGGCGGTGAAGCCGAATGATGATGAGGATCCCTTCGTTGGCGAGGCTGTTTTGACCGCCTTGCTCTGGGGCCTCATCGACAAAGGCGTTGGTGTCGGAGCCATGGCGGGCGGCCGTCTGATCGAGGATGGCTTCTGCATCGTGCTAGGAGTCTGGCCGTACACGCTACCGCTCTGGCTGACGCTGTTCGACAGGAGTCGGCTGCTGCTTGCGCCGCCCTTGACGGTACTGCCTGTCATGTTGCTATTCAGTCGCTGCCGCTTGTTGCCTGTCTGAGGCGTGGCCTCCACCGCAGGCTGTCGATTTTGGGCATCGCTTGCACCCAAGACCGGCCTCGCCGCGTTCGACGCAACGCGCGGACGCTGTATGCACAAGTGATCAGCGTCGCCTTTGTAACAAAGATGTCTAGACTCGCGTGCTCACCTTCTTCGAGGCTGCCTCGCCAATGGAAGCCACCAGCTCGTCGATGAAGCGGGAGCCATCGACTGTGAATACCTTGCCCGTCTCGGCCTCCCACGCTGGAATTGCTCGCTGCAATTCGTCTTCGAGCTATTCAAAAGGGAGATTTTGGTGAGCTCCGTACCAAGAAGCCAAGCTGGCGAGAATTTACCTTTGGCTTGAGCATCTTGAGACGTTTCCTTGTCTTTTCCTCGCGCAGCAATCGGCCGGGGTCGCCCCTGGCTCCCCTTCCCATGAGCCTCGTCTGGTCCTTTGCGCTCTCCTCGAGCGCCTTGCCCTCGTCGAGCAGATCCCTGTACCGCTTGACAAGGGCAAGAGGCACCCGCTTGAGCTCTGCCTCGCGTCTGAGCACCTCAACGTGTTGCTCGTGCAGCCTCAGCAGCTCGTCCGACGGCTCGACGCCTGCGTCAATCTGCCCACTGCCGTCGTCGAGGTCGTAGAAGAACTGTTCAAAGTCTTGCGTCCTCTCCTCTGGGCTCATTCGAATCTCGTCCCAGAGGTCGGCAATCGACTGTCGGACCTTTGAGATGAAGAGGGCCATGTGCTGGCTCTTGAGCTCGCGCATCTTGAGCAGCTCCGACTCGTAGGCCTCGATGACTGAGGCAGTGGAGCCGCAGTTGCTCTGGACAAAGGCATCCATCTCCTCCTCGCCCACGTCAAACTTCATCCACAGCTCGACGAGCTCATCGTAGAGGGCCTGGATCTGCTCTTCTCTCCGTGTCTTTTCGTCTTCGAGGTGTTGACGCTTGGCCTTGGCAAGATTCAGATTCTCCTTGAGCGGCGCAAGCTCGTGCGCAGCAATAAGCCGAGGAGCAGGGCCGAGGGCAGCATGCGATCCAGAGGACCTTGTCGGCGTCGAATCTGGCACCGATGCCCCACCTGACGAGGGAGCCGATTCGCCCTCATCTCCATCGAGTGTCTCGACGGGCGCAAATTCTCCTCGGAACTCGTACTCTGTCTCGATGCCGTCGGCTGCCTCGATAGGGTTGCCCTCCTCGTCGACCATCTCCACCTCTGCCCACAAGGGCTGAAGACGAAGGTGTCGCAGAATCAGTGAGTCGAAGCTGGCCGAGCCATTGGACTGGGGCTGCACATCCGGAGGGTAGCATAGCTCAGACCAGAGCTGGAGAATGGCTTGCACAGTTGCATCGAGCTCCTTGCGCCTGCTCTGGACCTCGTTGGCGCACGATGCCAGGCTGGCGTTGAGGGTGTTGATGTACGAGACGGGCACGGTTTCGAACTTTGACGAAGCGGGCGACTCGGCCTCGAGCGCTGACAAGGAGGCAACAAAGCTGCCCAGCAACGGCTTGTATGCCTCGAGCTGGTCCCTGATCTTGTTCACCTGCGCCATTCGTGTTCCGTGCAAGTTCTTGAGTCGCTGCCATTCCGACTGCAGCGCGCTGATCCGAGGCAGCAAGGGAAGCTTTCGGGATTCGATCAAGGTCAGCATGACGCTGCATCTCTTCGACATGTATTCTTTCTCTGCTCACCTCTTCTGTCCCACAATTCTTGTTCTCACTGCTCCTCTTTCCCGCGGATGTCCTGTTTGGCTTGGCCTCCCCCAACGCAAGTCGCAATTCCTGGCACTCGCTCTCGAGCGTGTCTACCTTTGCCCTCGCTCCCTTGACCTCGCTCTCGACATTGGAGACCTGCCCATCAACAGCCTGCTTAAGCGCGTCGTGGAGCGCAGTGAGCGCGCCCTGCAGGTGGTCCGGCGGGTGGCCGAGCTGGGCGTGGAGCTCCTTGAGGTGCGCAGTGGAAGACGTCAAGAGATCCGAGAGCTCCTGCACGTCCATGTCTGTGATCTGTGTCGACGGCGCGCGACGCCGATGTCTTGCTGTATGTTCTCACTGTTTAGATCTGTAGCACTTGAGTCGGTAAAGAAGATTTGATAGTGACGGGGGTTGATGATGGCGACTGTGATCGTTTGGCTGTGATGGATGTTGGACGCGTCTCAGAACAACACCTCCCAGGCGTGGTGTCACGTGACTTTGATGCTGTGCTACGACACTGACAGTGGCCTCCGTCCAGTCTGTCCATCAATCTCTGCGTAGGTTCCCAGGATGAATTGCAATACAGAGAAGCCCAAACGGCTCGGCCTGTCGGGAAGATGAATGTCAAGGCCCGCAATTTGTGATGAGCAGCGTCCTGGGCGGTGAAAAGATGGCGAGGCCAGGGTCTGTGTTGATTTCCTGGAACGCGTCCGTCGATAGGCGCAGGGCCAAATGCACAAGCTCTAAAAACGGAAAACCTCCATCTCGAACCTCGACACACCCCTTCTGTCAAACACCTCTGAGCGAGGCGGCGCATTGCATACAGAGCGGTGAGGAGGAGCCCAGCTCAGCTCTCTTTCCTGCTCTTTCTTTTCCTCGCCGGCGAGCGGGGCCAGCCAGAAGCGCGTGTCTCCTGATCGTGCTCCCTGCTCCATCTACTAAATGCAGGGCTCGCCCATGCCTTCCAACGCCCACAACGACGACAATGACGACGATGGCTCCTCCTCTTTTGGTACCGCGCTGACAGGGGCCGTCACCGGCACGAGCTACCACCCGCGGTCCTCGACGCCAAACAACGTGCCCGTGCCCTCTTCCCCGGGCAAGCGGCCGCCCACGCCGCTGCAGATCGACGAGGAGGAGGGGCGCGAGGACGAGAGCGAGTCGGGCAAAATTGACGGCCAAAAGGAGCAGCAGGAGCATGAGCACGAGCAGGAGGAGCCTTCGCGGGGGAGTAACAGCCTCGGTGCGGGTCAGATGGTCGATCTCAACGAGGCCGACATCGTCCGCGGCGTGCCTAGCGTCGGGCAGGAGGCTTCGTTTCCCTCGTCGTTGTCGTCATCGTCGATGAACACCGGCCTCAACACGCAGGAGGAAGCACCCGGGTCCAGTCGGCAGCAGGAGACGTCCTCTGAGCTTAGCACGCGGCCAGCGCAGGACGCTCCGCCGCTGCGGACAGCTTGGCACGCCATGCCGGGCTTTGAGGAGCTCGACGAGAGCTGGGTTGCTCCTCTGGCTTCAGCTCCAGCTCCAGCTCCTGCTCCTGCTCATGCACCTGCTGCTGCATCGACGAGCCAGTTAGATCCCCAAGAGCAGCTCCCTGACCAAGACATGCCGCCCTTGACGCGAGCCACGTCTTCCAACGGGACCGCAAGGACGTCGAGCACGGCCAAGCCGCTGGCGAGCTCGGCCACCTCGCTCGATTCGGCCTTTGAGAGGCGAAAGAGGTCGTCGCCGCATCGGACCAGCAGCGACGAAAGAAGAGCACTGACTGACTCGGAGCTGCAAGCGGGTCCTTCAAGCCCGTCGAAGCGCGTCCCAAGCCACCGTCGAGTACGTCGGGGCAGCCACTCCCCTTCGTCGGCACCCGAGGACCTCGTCGAGCGAAGACCCGTGTCGCCGGTCCCCTCGACGGCGAGTCGATCGAGCTCCAGCTCGGGAGCCAAGCAGGGCTCGCGCAACATGCGGCAGGGTGGCGCTCCCGACGCCGAGCACTTTGGGACGGCAAGGGAGCGCATCGTGTCGCGCTCGAGTCAGCCAGAGGGAGAGGAGCAGGAGGCCAGCACGAGCAAGGCCGTCACGGCAGAGGAAGGAGCGACGTTCATCGAGCACGCAGATGTGGCTTCGCCGCCGCCCATGTTCAAGCCGGCATGGGCACAGCCAAAGGGCCCCGGTGGGAGACGAAAAGGCTGGAAGGGCGACATGTTTTCTCCCTCGAAGCTGCAGCGCATGTTTGACCCTCCCACACCGCCGCCTCGGCAGCAGCCACAGGAGCAGCCACAGGAGCAGTCACAGGAGCAGGAGCGGGAGCCGAGAGAAGGCGGATCTGCGGAGAAAGCACACGACGAGGGGCCACAGGAATTTGCAAAGCAAGCAGAGGCCAAGGTGTCGCCTCCGAGGGGGCCATTCACCTTTGCCTCTCCCTCGCCTCCCATTCCTCGCACACCTTCGGTCGAGCGGGAAGAGCAGGAGGCGACGCCGGCGCGTATAGGCGCCAACGGGAGACCCATGTCGAGCCTCTTTCCGCCAGAGTACCGCGCTCGGCATCGCGATGTCATCGAGACACCGCGGTCCGAGCGGAGGATCCGCGCTGCTGCAGCGACTGTGCACCGTCAGCGAGGCTCGGCCTTGGCAAACGTGCTGGAGCGACGGCAGGAGAGTGCCGACGAAGACGACCTCGAAGAGCTTCGCGAGGGGGAGCGTGAGAGGGAGAGGGAACGCAAGAGACAAAGGCTTGACGAGCGGCCGAGGTGGTGGAAGGAGAGCGAAGGACAACAAGACCAGGTGTCTCTACGAAAGAGTGTGGGTCTGCAGGAAGCCAGAAGAGACTATGTGAGGGAGGCGCCCGGCTTCATGGACCTTATTCGAAACACCAGACTGGCAAGTGATCCTGCCACGGCGACCACCATCGGTCCTCAAGCGACGCTTTCGAGATCGATCCTGAGCATCAGCAGGGGCGACGCAAAGGCGCCCACGCCCAGGGCCTCGATGCGACACGACCTGGAGGAGGAGGACGAGGGGTTGACAAGCCATGAGAGCCCTCAACGGGCGTCGCAGAGGAGGAGACCACCGGGCTCGTCTTCGCCATCCTCATCTTCAGCCCAGGCACAACGCGAATCACCCATGAAGCTTCTGAGGCGCTGGAGCGCCGCTGCTCAGGTCGACAGCGAGATTCAAGAGGAGCAGGATGCCGAAGACCGGGCTGAGCAGAGGTGGTCGAACAGGCAGTCCCGTTCGCGTCTGCCCCTCGTCTCGGTGCAGTCGCCGAGCCAGCGCATCTCCAGACCCGTCGATGGCTTTGAGGACGATGAAGAGGAAGAATGGCGGACGACGGAAGGCGAAGAGGCCGAGGGTGTCGATGAGGACGCAGACGCCGCAAAGGTGGCGCAGAAGGCCATTGCTTCATCGAGAGCACGTCAGAGCGCCCAGCACGCCGCCACGGCAGCAGGAGCCGGAGGTATGCTTCGGATTGCCCCCGAAGATGTGCCTCAGGATGAGATGGACCTCCTTGGTGGGGGACGGATGAGCTTTGACCGTAAGGCGAACAAGTGGGTGAGCAACAGAGGCAGCGGTGGGGCCGCGAGACGCCCTGGGGCCGAGAAGCGCTCCGAGGTGCTTCGAAGAGGTCTCGACGATATCAGAGAAGCCTTCCACGACGCCAACAGCCGCACTCGACGAGCCGCTGAGAACAGCGGCCAACAGAGCAGCGACTACAGCGACCCCTTTCGTGACTTTGAGAGCATTGCTTCAGATACGCGGCGAATCAACGGCCCACTCTCGCCTGCCTCTTCCTCTCGACAGCAGCAGGAGCAGCAGCAGCGAGCAGCAGTGGCAGCGGCGCCATGGAGAGCACATGCACGATCGGGCTCTGCGCTGAAGAATGAGGTCGTCTTTACCGAGGGAGACTCGATCAGCACGGCTTCTTCGCCCAGGGCAAACGACCTGCAAGTCCCACCACATCGGTCTTTTGCCCCGCTCACGCCTCCCCACCCTGCCCTTCAGATCAAGAGCGGGCACACCCATGCCGCCCACACGCCCTCACCCTCGCGGCCCTTTACGGCGTCGCCCAACCCACCAAGATCGATTCTGAAGACGGCCGCTTCGCACACGGCCATGCGCACCCCAGAAAGGGATGACTCCCCGGCCAGACCAGAACCCAGGTCGATCAGTTTTGCCGACGGCAAGACTGCTGGACCGATGTACGGCATTGGCAAGGCAAGAGGAGACCGACCCGGAATCCACGAAGAGTTCATGCCGGGCAGCAGCGGTGGCAGCTTCGACCGTTCCTACAAGGCCGAGAGGATCGGTGAACTGCTCCAGGAGCTGGCCGAAATTACGCTCAACGATGGGATGGCTGGTGAGGAGCTCGAAGAGACGCCGACGCGAAAGGGCGCCGTCTCGCTAGCGAGGTCCTCGAGTGCAATGTCGACTGGTGCCGATTTGAGATCCCATTGGTCCTACGGAGCATTCCGGCGTCAACGGCAGGGCGAGGGCGATGCGGGAGATTTCAACCAGTCGTTTCTGACAAGCGCCTCTTTCAATGTCGCGCACGATCGCATCCTCGAGGCTATCACCGACGTGGCGCCTTGGGAGCCAGGCTGGGAAGAGATGAAGACAGTCGACCTGAGCAACAGGAGAGTCGAGAGTGTCGTGCGCCTCAAGGAATTCTTGCCACGGCTTGAAGAGATCAGGCTGTGAGTTGCCTGGAAGACGTGCAATAGAAGGAGAGAGAGGGACTCTCACCACTGACTCTACATCTTCACCAGGGACAATAACCAGATATCGTACCTCACAGGCCTGCCATCGACTGTTCGAACACTCTCCGTCCGCCACAATTGGCTACCGGCCACAGTCTCGTTTGGTCATCTGCTTCACCTCGAAACGCTCGACGTGAGCTTTAATGATGTCGAGTCTCTATCTGCGTTGAGCTGCCTGTACAACCTGCGGAGCCTTAAGGCGCAAGGGAACGGCATCGAGTCGCTCGAAGGTATCGAAGACTTGAGCAAGCTCGTCGACGTCGATTTGAGCAACAATCATTTGCAAGCCCTGAATGCAGATGTCTTGCACTGGCCCGCGCTGGAGAGCTTGTCGCTGAGCAGAAATCATCTCGTCACGGTGCGAGGGCTATCGACACTACTGAAGCTCAGGTCTCTCAACCTGGACCACAACCGGCTTTCTCGCGTGGATCTGGTACCGGCCATGCCACGACTGCGTGCTCTTCGGGTGAGCGGAAATGCAGGCTTGACCCACCTCGATGTCGACCCAGCCCGCAGGCTGAGGACGCTGTATGCCGACAATTGCGCTCTGGACAAGGTTCAGAACCTAGACAGGCTCAAGAGGCTCGAAAATCTCTCGCTGCGTCAGCAACACCGTCGGCAGGAGACTGTAGCCGGGCTCGTTTGGCCAGCACATGAGGTCCGAGACTGCAAGCGGCTATTCTTGTCTGGCAATGCCTTTCGCGCGGGCAGTCTCGAGAACCTTGGTGGATCCAAGAGCCTCCAAGTCGTCTCTCCTGCACCCTTTGCTCCCCCCGTCCGCTTTCTCAATCTCGTCTACCTGGAACTGTCTGCTTGTCAATTGACGTCGCTGCCCTCCGATCTGCCGCACCTGGCGCCCAACATGCGGCACCTCAATGCCGACCACAACCTCTTTGCAACGCTCCCCTCTCTACACGGCATGGCGCGCCTCAAGCGGCTGAGCCTCGTCGGCTGCCGCATCAAGCGCACGCGAAACATCATCGAGGCACTCCAGGGCATGGTCGAGCTGCACGTGCTGGATGTGCGCATGAACCCATGCACCCTCGGCCTCTACCCTCCCCTCGTCGTCGCCGTCTCTGGGGCGTTGGCTTCGGGCCCGAATCCAGTGTCGATGACAAAGGCGGCGTTCCTGCCGCCGATCCCGCATCCAGACGTCGTGCAGCCCGACGTGGCGAGGCGGATGGAGCGAGAGGCGAAGAGGAGTCTGCAGAGGCAAAAGAGGCTCAATGAAAAGTCTTTCTTCCACAAGCGGCGGCCTAGCGATTGGGACCCTGCCATCGGGCGAGGACACGACGATGAAGAGGAGGACGAGGACGAGGACGAGGAGGAGGAAAGCGGGCACCTTGGCGACGAAGGGCAGGCCGACGATGAGGAAGAAGAGCAAGTCAACGAAGCGCAGAGGGGTGCGAAAGGCCCGGCAAAGAAGGTGACCTCCGCCACACTCTTCTCAAAGACGGACGAGGCATTCTCCAAGACGCTACCGCCTGCCTTTGCGACGAGGAGGCTGCTCCATCGGGGCACTCTGGCCATGGCGTGTCCCAATCTGACGTGGCTCGATGGCCTGCTTGTCGATGAGCACGAGGTTCGGATGGCTGATGAGAGGCTGAGGATGAGGAGCGGGTTGCGGTAGTCTTCTTCTCCATCCGGTTCAGGAAAAGCAGGAGAGAGAGAGAGTTTGTGTGTGTGTTCTCATATCATTATCTTGTACTATTACATTTTCATCAGCAATTGGAGCAGGAGGTATGATGCAGAGCAGATCAAAAAGAAAGAGGAACAACGTCTCTGTCGGAAGCCTCAATCTCGCAACCAAGAGAGCTTTGCGGCCTTCTTCTCCTTTTTCCGCTGCTGGTAGAACTGGATGTCCTGCTTTGTCGGCTTGCGCTTTCTCGACCCGCCGGCCTGCTCGATCATCTCCTCCTCTTCGCGCAGCCGGCGCCGTTCCTCGTTGTATGCGTCGACATCGAAAAAGGCGCCCATCTGCCGGTCCGCCTGATTGGCGTGCGACAGGCGCGAGGGGTCATATTCGGCCGTCTTTGCAGCAGGGACAAATTTGCCCGTGCGAGCGTCAAAGGTGCCCTTGGCGGCGTAAGCGCCGGCGGCGATGGCATTGCTGTTGGAGGACCCGCCGCCGCCGCGCGATGTGTTGTAGGCCTGGCGAGCTTCTGACAGCTGGGAGGCATACAGACCTGGATCGAGGTAGGCCAGGTCCGGATCGAGGTTGTGCAGCTGTGCAAGGTCTTCGTCACTGATGGTTGCTGCCGGTGCCGACGCCCCCGATGTCGACGCCTCGGCCTCTGCAGAGGCAGTACCTTCCAGAGGGTTCGTCCAGGTTGTCTCGTTCGTCTTTGCGTTCCAAAAGTACCACGCTCCTCGATTGGCGTCCCAGACTTTGTAAGAGGGAGGCCGTCGCAGCGCGCATCAGCTTTTCACATCCACGAGCAAACGGCGCAAGGACGACTCACCAGCTTGCCATGGATGTGCTTGTTCCCCCTTCTTCTTTGCTCCTTCTTCTCCCTCTTTCCTTCCGTCATCGACGTCTCCGTCCTCCTCTTGCTCTGTCTCATCTCGCTCTTCCTCGGCCTGTTCCTCGGTCTGCGCTGCAGCTTCAGCCTCCTTAGCTCGTTCACCAGCTGTGTTCGCCTCTACCGCCACCTCCTTCTCCTCTTCTTCTTTCTCCTTCACAGCCTCCACCTTGCCCCGTTCAGTCTCTTCAGTCTCAGCTCGCTGTGACCCTGGCTCTTGCTCTGCCCTTTGCCCCTTCGGCGCGCCGGGTTCGACTCCCCGATCGACTCTGTTGCCCTCCCTCGGGGCCGGCACCATCTTTGTCAAAGCTCTGCTCTGTTTATGGTCCTGCCCGGCGCGTTCTTGTGCTCCTTGTAACGACGACCTCGATTCTAGCACTTGCCTCGTGCCGCCGTCGACAAGTGAAGCTGTCGAATCCATTTACATACTGATGGGAAGTGTGGTGTGTCACCTAATCCGGAAATCGGGAAAGGAGCTTGACTTTTTTGCAGTTCCTGTTTTTGTTTTTATTTGTTTAGCTTGAAGGACGGCTCTCTCTACACGTTCGCCCCGATGTTAAGGCGTTCATATGTGGGACCAACGGTTGCAGTATTCTGAGCACTCCGTTCACAAATCATAAACATCTTATCGAGGGGCAAGAAGCTCCCTCGGTCCGGATCGAGCAACCAATCGGATGAAGCGGTGAAAGGTGGCGAATTAGGATATGGACAACGTGCGCGACAAATTCTGAATGAATTGCCCACAAAGGTATAAGGGCGGGCAGCGCACGGCTTATTGATCTCTTCACAAACATCTTCAACAAGAATGAAGCTCAGACCGCTTATCATCCTCTCACTGGGCTGCTGGCAGCTCTGCGCATATGCTGCTGGAAACGATCCAGGTGGCGGATACCCTCCTCGGTCGAACAAACCGTCCTTGGGAATGCCTTGGGTGCACGACAAGACAGGCTACCATCATGTCATGGCCGGCTATCTTGGAACCCAGGACAAGGGCAAGGCGAAAGCATCAGGCTCTCAAGCCCCCCCAGAGAGACCTCTGCCTCAGCCAATGTCGCCTGGATTCGTTCCTCTCAGCATGGATCAGGTTGACAAATATGATTTCCTGGACCTCACACTAGATCAACGGAGTCCCGTGGAGGAACCTCACCCTGATTACGGTTGGTATGGGATGGGGAAGGGTTCCAATGCTGGGCACAACCCAAGATCAGACGAAGACACTGCGCAGGCAGTAACATTTCCGTGGCACGTGTCGAATGCTCGGCAAAGTCACTACAATGATTTGCACCCACAACATCAGCAATGGCAAGGGTATCAGGAAGTCCAGCACCCGCATCAACCCGTGGGCATTGAGAACACCAAGGACTGGAGGGAGTCTCAACCGTATGATTATGCGCAATTGTGGCATCATTCATCGCCAGATCATCACCATGAACAGCACCTATCAAGCTTTCAACCCGGCCATCACACCCTCCATCATTCGTCCATGTTTCCACCATCGCACCACTCCGTAACCGCCAGCCTAGAGCCTCCAGAAGGTTTGCAATGCAGCGCAGAGAGAAAAGAAGAGGGATGTTCAGATGAAGCGACCTTTTACGGCGGAATGAGAGCCACACGTGACATTAGGGATACGTGGGGGACCTTCAACAGGGATGTGATACAGGGTTCCCTCAGAAGCGTCTTGAGTAGGGCTATAGAAAATAATATCTCAATCCGCAAGGCCGCCAAAGCACATAAGAGAAACCGTTTGCATGATGCACCCGATTCATGGGTGGCTTTCGCTGTCGACAATCCAAGCGGACCCATCGAGGAGCGTGCTTTCTATTCAGAGCCGCCACAACTTGCAGAGGTGTCACAATGGGCAAACGAGGAGAGACATAAGATCGCTATGAATAGGTCTCAGTACGACCTCAACTTCATGAATTACGACGAGAGCACATGGAGTTGGAAGATGAAGCCCGAAGTAGCGTCCGGACAAATGACGGTGACGATAAAGCCCGATATTTGGTGGGACCAGGGAAAGGAGGAGGACCCTGTTTCGAAATATCAGAGGATGCGAGCAAATGAGTTGATGCAAAAAAAGTCAAGACGGGCGCCAGGGCGCAAGCCGACTCGCTAGAATCGAGGCAGCGCTCCGCTACCAGCAATTTGCGTTACGGTTTCTCGGCACTTGATGGTTCTACTGGCCTTAGTTTCCCTCGTCATCCTAGAAATGCTTAAGTCCAAGCCTGAGTGTCAATTTTTCTTGAGATTCATGTGGGTCATGTGTCGTTGGATGGTGTAATTAATGATGTTCATGCTCTTACGTGGAACCTCACACATATGACGCCAACTTGTTCACCATTCATTTCCGTGACATCTCTTTCGCTTCTGCACTGTTGCGTGATCCACCATCTGATCAATCGCTTACTACATGCACATTCTGTAATTACGAACTATGCGAGTCATGCATAAGACGGTGCGCCAATCAGTACACAATCATGTTTCACCAGTCATGCGTGTCGGGGCAACCGAAGGCGACGGGCAGCCGTCGTCTTCTGAGCGTACACAGAGGTTGAGAGGCTGAAAGTACTACTATATCCGATTTTTTTGCTTACACTGTCAGGGCTCTGAGGCGTCCTGGACGCCCCGAGGCCCTGTGTACTCCCTATTTTCGCCCGCTCTCGTTTAGTTCTGGCGCTCATGATTTATTTCGCTTGGCTCCACTAGGTCCTGTTTCTCGGGTCTGATTCACCGTGCTGGACGTCCGAAGTACACCATCGCCTGCTGCGCAGCGCAGACGGGGGGAGAGGGGGGAGGGGGGGAGGGGCGGGCGGGGTTCCTAGAGCGCCCTCAAGTAGGCGCTCAAGCTCGGATTCCAAAGATAAGTCAGGCGTCGCAGCGCGGCGCATGCCTATATAAACGAGCCCTTTTCCCTGAGATTCCCTCTTCTCTTCGTCGCAAAATACATTCGAAAAGCCCCTGTTCGCGCAGGTGTCCAGCTTCCTTACAATTGCTTTCGAGAATGAAAGCCCCTTGGCGTGAATGAAAGCCCCTCTGGCTTAAAATAAAGCCCCTTCGGTCGGAACTGAACGACCTGTCGGATACAAGCGTTGCTCGTGAGGGCGACGAGGTAGTTGTGGGATGGAGCACCCATAAAGGCATGGGTGTGAGCTGCTTGTAGCCCCTATTGATCTCTTACGGACAACAACTACGATAATGAAGCTCACCTCGGTCATCATCCTCGCATTTGGCTGCTGGCAGCTCTCTTCAGTGCTTGCATATCCTGCTGGAACTCATCCAGGTGAGAGATACCATCCTTGGTCGAACAACCCCTCGTTGGGAACGCCTTCTGAGCCCAACGATAACGTCGGCCGTCATCTCGCGACTGGTCGTCCTGGAACAAAGGATAAAGGCAAGGGGAAAGCACCAAGCTCTCAAGAACCCTTAGAGAGGCCTCTGCATCCACTGATGCTGCCCGAAGATATTCCCTTCAGCGTGGATGAACTTCTCAACGCGCCTTATGACTTCCAGTATCTCCCGTCGACACTATGGCGACCCGTGGAGGGCAATCGCCCCGGTCACGGCTTGGCTGAGATGGAATCGAGACCCATTGCTGGACACTACCCAAGATCAGACGAAGATGTCGGCCAGCCGATGACACCTCCGTCGCACGTGTCGAATGTGTCGCAAAGTCACCACAACGACCCGCGTTTACAACATCTGCAATGGCTGGGGTATCAGAATGTTCAGTACCAGCAGCAACCATCAGGCATTCAAAAGGTTGAGGGCCGGTGGAGTCCTCAGCCATCTGGATATACGCCATTGTGGAATACTCCATCAGCGTATCATCACCTTGATGAGAAATTACATCAACCCTTGGACAAACACAACGACCAGCACAGAAGGCAAGGTCTTCCGCATGCTTCAGCTCCAAGACGTCACCATGATCAGCGCCCGTCGCACTTTCGCGAAAAGAACCGCGCTGCCTTCCATACCGAAGAAACAAGACATAGATGGCAAGCCTTCAACAAAGACATTCTGCTGAATTCTTTCAGACACGCCGTAGTGAAAGCTCTGAAAGAAAACATCCCTCTCGACCGTGCCGTGGAATCAGACGTAAGATTTGCTCTGCACCGCGCAGGCTCTTCTTGGGTGGCTTCCGTCGTCGACAATCCATTTGGACCTGTCGAGGGTCGTGTCTACTTCTCAGATCCGGAACAGCACGCATTTGTGTCTCAATGGGCAAATGCGGAGAGAGGCAAACTCGCTGCGACTAGCCCTACCCACGATCTTAGATACATGAGGCTTGACGAGAACACACAAAGGTGGATCATGAAGCGCGAAATAGTGTCCGGGAAAGAAGTGGTCAAGGCAGCACCCGATGATTGGTGGCCTTCGACAGTGAAGTCGCGCGTCATAGTTTTCAAGGAGCGGGTGGAGAAGGATACAAAGAAAAGACGGGAAAGAAGGGAGATGCAGCGACAGGAGGCTAGTCGGGGTTCTGGTCACTCGGGGCGTGCCCGCAGTCGTTGACGGAGTTGAGGAAATATAATACGTCGGCCGAGCTGATCGATTCTAATGAGATGGTCGAGCGTCAGCGAGACCTCAATCCGAGACGATATAGATCGCTCAGGCTGCCTCTGAGTGCTGAGGTGACTCCGGCTCCCGCTTGTCGCGGCGATGGCGAAGCTGTCGGCGCTCCCGATCGTTTAGTCAACAAAGTGTAAATGGTTAAAGAGAAAAAGGAGCGTGTACGCGAGAAGTAACAGGCGAGTAATATATGCTCTTCCCTACTATTCATGTGGGTCATGTGTCGTTGATGGAGTCTGTGATGATCATGCTGATCGTGTGGGACCTCATACATAAAGCGCCAACTTTTTTCCATGTGTTCTTGTAACACCTCACTCATTCCTGCACTGCTGCGTAGTCTCAATTTGGAACGATGTTTCCGACGGCTTCGACTTTTTCAGCTTTGTGTCTGATGGTGCAAGCGAGCGCTCCAACTACCTCATCAAATATACCGCTCGCTCACACCACGCACTTTATGTGTCTCGGAGACACGGGAGTCATGCACGATGCGCCGCATCAACAGCTAACAATTCTGTTTCATTAGTCACTCATGCCGGGGCAAGTGACGGCGACGGGCCGCCCTCAATTTTTGAGCACCAACAGAGGCTGAAACTACTGAATCCGGAATTTTTGTTTACATGCTTACGAGAGCGAAAGCCCCTTCGGTCTGAGCCGGGCGACCAATAGGATGCAAGCGCAGCTCGCGAGGGCTGCGAGGGAGGTGGGGGGGTACGATGGGAGACCCACAAAGATATGAGTACCGGTTGCGTATAGTGTCTCCTGATCTCTTTTACAGACACCATCCACGTCAATGGAGCTCACCTCGCTCATCATCGTCGCACTTGGCTGTTGGCAGCTCTCCGAAGGGCTTGCATATCCTGCTGGAACCCATCCAGATCGTGGATATCCTCCTTGGCGGTCCCACCTTCCTTGGGAATATCTTGGGAGCCCAACGATGACGTCAGTCATCATGACATGACTGGTCGTCCTGGACCAAAGGATAAAGGCAAGGGGAAAGCATCAAGCTCTCAGAACCCTTTAAAGAGACCTCTGTCTCAACCGATGTCGCACCGAGACGAAGATCTTCCCTTCAGCTTGGAAGAAATTGACATGGAAGAGATCCGTCAAACGTGTGACGAACTAAGGGATTTTTCGCCTTCACGATTCGGGGTTGGAAAAGGCAAAGACCCTGTTAATGTCTTGTCTGAGATGGGGGCGAGTCCATACACTGGACACTACCCAAGATCAGACAAAGAGGCTATCCTGTCGATACCTTCTTCCCACTTCTCGAATGTGTGGCAAAGTCGCCACAACGATCCAACTCCACGACATCTGCAATGGCCGCGTCACAATGTTAAGCCCTGGCATCCATCCATAGGCACTCAGATTGATGAGTACGGTTGGCACCATGGTCCTTCAGACTACTCGTTGTCGTGGCAAGATCCATCGACACATTGTCATGATAAGCAACCCTTTCAATTCCTTTACATGCAGTGTGATGAGGGCTGGATGCATCATCGCTCTTCAAGTCACTTGTCGTCGCGGCAAGATCCATCACCAGATCAGCACTGTAATCAGCACCCATCGCAATTTCAACCAGGCTATCACACCCTTCATCACTTGTCCACGTTTCCCCAGTCACGCCACTCTACTCCGAAAGGAGCAAGCGCTCTTCATCATTCTGGGACGGAGTCTTCAGAAAGTTCCCATGGCAACGAAGAAAGCGAAGGAGATAGAGAGACAAAAAGGTTGAAAGGCAGACAGGCGCTATTGGATAGATGGGCGGCCTTCAATAGCCTGTTGTTGCCGGTTTCCTTGAAGAGCGCCGTGACCAAAGCACTTAAAAAAAAAGTTCCGATACCTGTGGCCATACGAATGCACGCAGCAAACAAACTCAACAAAGCAGGCCCTAAGTGGGCGGCTTTCGCCGTCGACAATCCGTATGGACTCATCGAGCAGCGCCTTTGTTTTAAAGATCCGCAGCATTCGGCATTGTTGTCTCAATGGGCGAATGATGAAAGACGCAAGATTGCTATGACCAAGCCTAGTCATGAACTTGACTACTTGACGTTTGACCAGAGCTCGCGAAGCTGGATTGTGAAGCCCAAAGTAAGGTTCGGAGAGGTCGAGATCACGACGGCGCCCGATATTTGGTGGGATGATAAAAAGGACAAGAACCCTGAAGACCTCTATCGGGAGAAGCGGAGAGTGGAAGCGGCGAGGAAGAAGGCCAGAAAGCTTAGACAGTGCTGGCAACGCAGCCACAAGTAAGTTAACGCTCGTCTGTCAGCTATTTGTATCATCGTGTCGGTCCTTGGTTGTTCTACTAGCACTCTTCCTAGACTTGATAAGAGCACGCAAAAGTGGATCTTGAAGCCAAAATAAAATTCGGAACCGTCAAGGTCACGAAAATGCCCGAAGATTGGAGGCCCAAGAACGAGAAAGATCCTGTCACATGTTATGAGGAGAGGCTGGCAAAGGAATTAGCTTTAAACGGGCAAAGTACAAAAGACAGCGCCAACAGGGTAGCCCCACTTAAAGTGTCGCTCGCACATCAGCTGTTTGCACTACTTGTCCCTGATGACTTCTCTAGCCGAGCACTCACAGGAATGATAGTGTGGTAGTGCCTTACGTTAGACTTACTGAAGTTCAGGCCCGAGTAGAAAACACATTTCCTTGAGACTCATGGGTCATGTGTCGTTGATCTGGATTTTTACTGACTATCTACGTACCATTTCCTTACCACACGCACTTTCTGTGTCTACGAGCCATGGAGTCATGGCATGAGACGCGGTGCCAACCAGTGTACAATCATTCATCAGTCGCCATGCCGGGGCAACCGAAGGCGATGGGCTGCCTTTAATTTCTGTGCGCCAACAGAGTCTGAAACTGCTTTATACGATTGTTTTGCTTACAAGAATGAAAGCGCTCTCGACCGTACCTGAGCAGTACGAACAATCGGATGCAAGCGTAGCTCGTGAAGGCGACGAGATGGCTGTGCGATGGAATACCCACAAAGGCATAATTAGTGGCAATGTATAGCTCCTCATTGATCTCTTGACACCATCAACAACAATGGAGCTCACCTCGGTCATCTTCCTCTCTCTGGGCTGCTGGCAGCTCTCTGCGGGGCTCGCATATCCTGCTGGAAACCTGCCAGGTGGTGGACACCCTCTTTGGCCGTACCAAGCTTCCTTGGGAATGTCTTGGGAACCCATGTCTTGGGAGCCTAACGATGACGTCAGCCATCATGTCATGACTGATCGATCTGGAGCTCAGGATAAGGGCAAGGGGAAAGAACCAAGCTCCCAGAACTCCCAAGAGAGACCTCTGTCTCAATCGATGTCGTCCGAAGACATCTTCGGCTTGGAAAAGCTCAACATGGAAGAGATCCGTCAAACGTGTGACGAATTAAGGGATTTCTCGCCTTCACGGATGGGGTCTGGAAAAGGCAAACACCCTGTTGACAGCTTGTCTGAGATGGAAGCGAAACCCTGCATTGGGCACTTCCCAAGATCAGACAAAGAGGCCGTCCAATCGGTGATACCTTCACACCTGTCGAATGTGTGGCAAGGTCACCACAACGATTCATCCTCACAACATCTACAGTGGCTGTATCACGATATTGAGCACCCGCATCGATCTGTGGGCATTCAAAGTGATGAGTACGGGTGGCACCATGGTCCATCCGGGTTTTCGTCCTCGCGGCAAGATCCATCGATACATCATCATGATCACCAATCGCTTCAATTCTTAGGTAAGCAGTACGATGAGGACTGGATTCATCATGGTCCATCAAGCCGTTTGTCGTCGTGGAAAGATCCATCACCAGATCAGCACTATGGTCAGCACCCGTCGCAATTTCAACCAGGCCATCACACCCTTCACCACTCATCTACATTTCCCCAGTCACGCCACTCTACTCCGAAAGGAGCAAGCGCTCTTCATCACTCTGGGTCAGGGTCCTCAGAAAGGTTCCAGTGCAGCGAAAAGAGCGAAGGAAAGAATTTCACAAAAAGGGTTAAAGGCAACCGGGCGATATTGGATAGATGGGTGACCTTCAATAACTACTTGTTGCGGACGTGGTTCAAGAACGCCGTGAAGCAAGCACTTGACTTCAACATCTCGATCTTCGAGGCCATAGAAAAAAGCGAAGAAAACAAACTCAAGGAAGCACACCCATCGTGGGTGGCTTCCGCCGTAGACAATCCATTTGGACTCATCGAGCGGCGTCTCTATTGTCCAGAGCAGAGAGAATTTGCATTCGTGTCTCAATGGGCAGACAACGAGAGACGCGAAATTGCTATGAACAAGCCTAATCACGAGCTTGACTACACAACACTTGACGAGAGCACGCAAAGGTGGATCGTGAAGCCCGAAGTATCGACCGGGTTAGTCGAGGTCACAACAGCGCCCGATATTTGGTGGGATGTTGAAAAGGACGAAGACCCTGTCGAAACATATCGGAAGAAGCGGATAACGGATTCAGCGAGGCAAAAAACATATCGGGAGAAGGGAAAAACGGATTCAGCGAGGCAAAAGGCCAAGACTAAGACCAAAGCTAAGACCAAGGCCAAAAGTTCCAGACTGCACCAAGAAGGCGGCGCCAACTAAGTTATTGCTCGTTTGTCAGCTATTTGCATCATTGTGTCGGTCCTTGGTAAATTGAGTAATCCTAGAAGTACTGAAGCCCAAGTCCGAGTGATAAACACCTTCCCCTGAGACTCTTGTGGGTTATGTGTCGTTGGTGTGATTGATATCGCCTTTCAAGTGGAGCCAAGTGGGAATTTTGGGCGCTCGGCGTGCCCTCCGTCGCTGACGGAGTTGAGGAAATATTTCGGCTGAGCTGATGGACTCCTTTAGAGCGGTCAAGCATCAGCGAAGACCTCGACACGGGGCTATCTAGCTCGCCCAGACTGCCCCTGACTACTGAGGTGACTCCGGCGCCTGCGTGCGGCGTCAACTCCTGAGCGCCAAGAGAGGCTGAATCTACTATATCCGATTTTTTTGCTTACATGCCTACGAGAATGAAAGCCTACTTAGCTTAGCTTTATTATGAAAGCAACTTCGGTCTGATCGGAGCCGTACGACCAATCGGATGCAAGTGTAGCTCGCAAGGGCGACGAGGTGGCTGTGCAATGAAATGCCCTCAAAGGCCTGTGCAAAAAGCTCCTCATTGATCTCTCCACAGACGCCGTCAACAACAATGAAGCTCACCTCGGTCATACTGAGCAGCTGGCTGCTCTCTGTAATACTTGTACATGCTGGACGCCAGCAGAGTGAGAGTATTGGACGCAAGCAGGGTGATGGATACTCTCAGTGGTCGTCACCCTTGTTGGGATCATCTGGGCAGCACATAGAGAACCACCACGTCCTGACTG